TTATGGTGGGAGGGCTCTAACTACCTTAGCCATGGCACCAACTTTAGTGCAGGAGTAGCCATTTTGTTTAGAGCATCTGCAAATGTAAAGATCGTCTCTTGTGCTGAAATTGTAAAGGGAAGGCTTTTAATTGTAAGAGCAGAAATAGAGGACACTGTTTTCTGCTTCACTAATATTTATGCTCCAAATAATGGAGCTGAAAGGGTAGCTTTCTATACCCGCCTCCAAAAGGAGTTACTGATCTATAATCAGGATCAGATCATTCTTGGTGGTGATTTTAACTGCACACTTGATTTCACCGTGGATAGAATAGGAGAGGAGCCACATCCACATTCATCCCAGACTTTAAACACTGTCATCTCTCACCTGGATTTGTTGGACACATTTAGAGTGAAACATCCACAATCCAGACAGTATACATGGGTCAGGGTTAACAGTAACAGGGTGTGTGCAGCTAGACTGGACAGGGTTTACATCTCCAGAACTCTCAACCCCAGATTAATTCATTGTAATATTCTGCCTGTCGGCTTCACTGATCACCATTTTGTTAGTGTGGAGCTGATTATTTCACCAGGTGAAAGGGCTAAGTCCTTCTGGCATTTTAATAACAAGCTTCTACTGGACAATGTTTTCTGTAAAAACTTTGGGTGTTTTTGGGATCAGTGGCAATTAAGAAAAGTTGAGTTTGATTCTTTGAAGCTTTGGTGGGAGGTTGGTAAAGCTCAGATTCGTGTTTTTTGTCAGCAGTACACGTCACACTCTTCTGCTAGATTAAAAACAGTCATTAAAAATCTTGAGGACAACATTAAGAACCTTGAGGAGGGGTTAAATGGGAGTGTGGATCCCACCGCTGGTACCTGCTGAAGGAGAAACGTATGGAGTTGAGCTCTTTCCTGCAGGAGAGGGTGAAGGGAGCTCTTGTGCGGAGTCGTTTCCTTCAACTCAAAGACATGGATGCCCCAACGTCTTTCTTTTTCAATCTTGAGAGATCTGTGGCTCAAAAAAAGCTGCTGACTTGTCTGAAACTGCCAGGAGGTCGAATAACAGCTGATCCAAAGGAAATGAGCAGTCACGCCATGCAGTTCTATGAGGATCTGTTTGGAGCAGAGAGTTGCAGCCAGGAGTGTCGCAGGGAGCTCCTGGAGGGTCTCCCTCAGCTCAGTGTGGAGGAGAGGTCTCTTCTGGAAGGGGAGCTGTCTCTGGAGGAGCTCACTGCTGCTGTCACTCAGATGGCAACAGGAAGAGCACCTGGAATAGATGGGTTGTCCACAGACTTTTTTAAGAGGTTCTGGAATATCCTTGGGTCTGACCTGCATAGTGTTTTAATGGAGTGTTGCAGGACCGGGTCTCTTCCTGGTTCTTGTAAGAGAGCAGTTCTTTCCTTGCTCCCCAAGAAAGGTGACCTGGCATTGTTAAAAAACTGGAGGCCGGTTGCTTTGCTTTGTGCGGACTACAAGATCCTCTCCAGAGCTTTATCGAACAGACTAAAGGACGTTCTGGGAAGTGTGGTCCATAAAGACCAGAGTTACTGTGTTCCAGACCGGACAATCATGGATAATGTTTTTCTTATCAGAGATGTCATTGATGTGTGTAAAATCTATAATCTAAATGTTGGCATTGTGTCTCTGGATCAAGAGAAGGCGTTTGACAGGGTGGATCACTCGTATTTGTTTTCTGCACTGAGGTCTTTTGGTTTTGGGGATGGTTTTGTGTCATTAGTTGGTTTGTTGTATCAGGATGCACAGTGTTTGGTGAAGATGGGGGCGGGGTTGAGTCGGCCAATCCCTGTACGGCGAGGGATCAGACAAGGTTGTCCCATCTCCGGCCAGCTGTACAGCTTGGCTATTGAGCCCTTGCTGTGCAGGTTGAGGGACCGGCTCAGCGGGCTTTCTTTGCCCGCGGCCTGTAGCATTGAATGTCCCCCTACAATTTCTGCCTATGCTGATGATGTAAACATCTTCATCTCCAATCAGGGGGACGTTCGGTGTCTGCGGGACACCCTGTCCCTGTATGAAAGGGCAACAGCTGCACGGGTGAACTGGGAAAAAAGTGGTGCCTTACTGGTGGGAGAGTGGAGGGACCAGGCAGTGCCCAGTCTGCCGGGTGGACTTGAGTGGGGGAGGGAGGGGTTGAAGGTGTTGGGGGGTTTATTTGGGTACCGAGGGCTTTAAAAGTAAAAACTGGGAGGGAGTTAGGGAGAAAGTGTGCGCTCGGTTGTCTAAATGGAAATGGTTGCTACCCCAGTTGTCGTATAGGGGAAGAGTTCTGGTGGTCAATAACTTGGTTGCCTCGACTCTCTGGCACAGACTTGTGGCTTTGACACCTCCAAGAGGGGCTGGTGGAGGACATTCAAAGGGCCATCCTGGACTTCTTCTGGTCAGGCAAACACTGGGTTCAGGCGGCAGTCCTCTACCTGCCGGTGGCTGAAGGGGGACATGGACTTATAGACATTCAGTCAAAAATTGCCTCATTCAGACTCCAGACTGCACAGAGACTCCTTTTCACTTGTGGTCCCAGCTGGATGGACATCACTCGACTGCTGCTGAGGAGAGCTGGACGGCTGGGGTACACTAAGCAGCTCTTTCTGTTAAAGCTTGAGGAGGTGGATCTCACTGGATTAACATCCTTTTATATGTCTGTAATGCAGGCATGGAAAATGTACACATTCAAAAGGGAAAAAACTGAGAGTCTGGGAATGTGGATCTTTGAGGAACCGTTATTTTTTAATGATTTTATAAGGACTCCAACTTTGCAGTCAGCCAGTCTCCGGGCCAGTTTCAGAGAGGCAGGCTGCACAAAACTGGGTCACCTGGTAAGACTGACCCTGGACGCCCTCAAAGAAAGGACCAATATCACCTCCAGCCGGGTGGTGGAAAGAGTGGTGGAGGAAGTCTTTGCTGCACTTCCAGTAAAACTTGTGACATTTCTAAACATTGAGAATCTGTGTGAGCAGTGGAGTGAAGAGGGTGAATACAGCTTCCCATCTTTGTCTGTTACCCCAGATGTCGGGGAGTGGCAGGAAAGAGGAGGTGGACTGCTGTCCTTTAGTACTCCTGTTCTGGGAAAGTTCCAGGATGCAGGGAAAAAGGCACTCTATCAGTCCTGTGTTAAGGTCCTACATCTTCGTGGTCTATCGGGAGTGAAAGAGTCGAGGTGGATCGAGTTTTTTGGCCCGGAGGTTTCCCCGAAAGGCAGCTGGCGGTCCCTGTACAAGCTGCCTGTTGAGAAGAGAACAGCAGATCTCCAGTGGAGAGTTGTGCATGGGGTTATAGCCACGAACAGATACAGAGCGCACATTGATCCAGGGGTGGGAGAGGAGTGTTTGTTTTGTTCACTAACTGAAACTTTGTCTCATCTGTTTGTTGAGTGTCCCAGGCTCTCACTCTTGTTTGTCCTTATGAAAAGCTTGTTTGAAGCTCTCGGGGAGGATTTCTCTTATGCAGTGTTTGTTTTTGGGCCAAAGTATTCTGCAAAGAAAAAGACTGTACATACACTGATGAACTTTTTATCTGGCTCGGCTAAGTTGGCCATTTGGCTTACACGCAAGAACCGAGCTCAGGGTACTGGCTGTGTGGAACCGGTGCTGGTTCTGGAGGGACTTTTGAAGGCCAGACTAAAGGTAGAATTTGCCTATTATCAAATGATGGACAATGTGCAAGACTTTAATAGTGTATGGGCTGTGGAAGAAGCTTTGTGCTCTGTGGGTGGGGATGGAGAGCTGATTATTCATTTTTGATGCAGTAAATGTTGTTTTTGTTGATGTTGTGATTTTTGTTGCACTTGTTTTGTTTTATGTTTTATTTTTTATTTATTTATTTATTTCCTTCTCTTGATCTGAGTGATGATGTGACAGTGTTATAATTTTCTCCAGGTAGTGGTAAAATAAAAGGTATTTTGAAAACCAAACCTCTCTCCTCTCTCCTCCCTCCTCTCTCCTCTCTCCTCTCTCCTCTCTTCTCCCTCTCTCCTCTCTCCTTTCTCCATAATATACGTATTATAACCCTATGATTTGACTTCCTCCTCCACCTTGTTTCTTTACATAAGCTTCCTTACCTTGCATAAGGCAACAGACAGAGCGCTTTAAGAATGAGGCGAACAAATCAGAGATGAAGTGAAGGACAGAAATAGGTGGAAGACAAAGGCAGTGAACGCTCCATATGTTCCCAGCAGGGTGGTCAGAGACGGGGCTTTGATGAGTGGTCTGCCGCCTTCTGCCAGGAGAGAAGGACCAATGCACCGCTAAACCCCTGAGGAGAGTCGAGAAACTAAATTAAGAGAGGATAGGACAGAAAACAATCATGGAAGGCTGGATTATTCACAAACATGTCATAAGATGAAACAACAGTTGACAGGGAAGTGGCACTGTTTGTCCTGGACAAGTTTTAACTCAGTGAAAAACAAAAAACTTGTGGTATTAATGTTGCTCCATGTCCTTGAGCAGTGGGAATTTGTTCAAGTCATTAACCTTGTGCCGGGGCCTAAGGAAAGAACAGCGTGTTACAGAATGTTAGCAATGTCTGTGCTCTCCCAGGAGACAATGCGCTCGCTCTCAAACTGCCTGACGATTCTTTGAAAGAAACAGAGGGTTAGCATTTAAGCAGAAAGGGTCAGAAATTGGTTATTTTTACCTAAATGGCCTCCGGGTGTGTGTGTATGAGGGCAGGTCCGGTGTTCTTATCGGAGAAAGGTCATGTCCTTCCTGACCTTTTCTGCCATAAGATTACCATATTCTTGTGGTAAGAGAGCCACCACCATGAATACTGATGTTAGGAACGGAACAGGGCAGCATTTGTCTTTTCAGGTCAGGGTTAGCTTCAGGCATAATGTAAGTAATTAACCTAGCTTTTGGTCTGTTTGTGTGTCGCAACGGTCCATTGAGGCAGAGCTTTGTTACCTGAAAGATAAATGTTTCACCCTTATGTAATCACTTTTTGTTCCCAATCAAGTTACGTTGGGGTAAAAGTTCTGTTGTGTTTTGTCCTTCTTTTTTTTTTTTTTAGACCTACATCGGACACATTCTTCTCCTGGTTAATCCAAACAAAGAGCTGCCCATCTACTCCACTTTGGTAAGCATGGCCTTAAACTAGCAATTTCTCTCTTAGGGTTATAAACTATGCTTGTGTGCTTAGACATTTTTAATATTTTATTTGCACATCTGTGTCATCCAAATCCATTCTGAAAACACGAGGCATTTATGCATTAAACATACGGAAATCAGCCTTAAATGGAGGCGTGTTTGCTGTATAATAAGCAGAGCATAACCGGATGAAATGGACCTTGTGGTTGATAAATAATGCAGTCTTCCTGTCAGTGATACATAGCACTGGGCTGCATCAGCAAGGTGAAGAGAGGGATCCAGTTTAGCTTACACACACACTCTCTAATAATCAAAACAACTTTATCTCTTTTAAAAATAAAACCTCATTTTGAAACATTTTTATTAGAAAAACGCAGCATATGTAAGATGTGCAAAGGTTACAGGAGACTGTTAGTGATTGACTCACAGATGTGTGTGAGTGTGTCTTTCACCTTCATTTAAACAGTCATTTTGAAAAAGCTGATTTAATGCCAGCCTAGCACTTACCAGTGGACCCCAGAGGGGTTGGATGGAGGAGGGGACATCCTCTCCTGCCCCCCCCCCCCCCCTTGTTGTCCCAATCCTGCCTGAGTCTGGATCCTCTCCAGGCCTCCACACCAAACTGAGAGAGAGAGTGTGTGTAGGAGCAGAGAGCAGCAGTGTGTGAAGGACATATGTCACAACATGTGTGATCTGCTGGCCGTCTGTCACCCCCCTCTGGCCTGGTGGTCCACAACCCATCCTCCCTCTGTCACAGCCACAGATACAACGCAGACACACACCTGCTGGACAGGGCCGATACATCACACTCATCCTACAGTGTGATAGTCAACTGGAGTTCACTGCCTTATACATGTTTAATGTTTTTTTTTTTACTCTGAGTCTTTCCATTTTCTTTCTTCCTTTGGCATGCCTTTTTTTTCCAACGACTGTCTTCAAAATACTTTTTTCAACTTTCATCGTTTCTTTGATAGAAGTCTCCGTCATAGGTTTCAGTGATTCACTTCTTTTGACAACGACATCTGAGTCTTAGCACAACAAGACTGAGATATAACAAATGTCTGGATAAGATTTTTCCTTCCTTTCATGTGTGTTAACCAAAACGTAACAGCTAATGAGAATGATTCAATACTTTGAATCAACATTAAGTTTATGTTGACGGTGCAATGTGAAGTTTTTGTGTTGCAATAAATTGACCAGATAGAAAGAGAGACAGAGCAGAGGAATTGTTGTTATTTTCTTTTTTTGTTTTAGTGTTATATGATCAAGAATTTAGCTTAATAAATTGAAGACAGGCTGCTTAATAATAATAATAACACATTTTATTTAAAGGCGCCTTTCAAAACTCTCAAGGTCACCTTACAGGGCAGAGATAAAAACAACAAAGTAACAACACAACAATAAAGTTAACATTAAAGTCTTTCTATGTGATTTTTCACACTTAAATGTAGAAATCAAGTATCTCCTCTGAAAATAACTCTGTGAGTCATGACTGTCTACAATGGGTGTAACACCCGAGTCCCACTGTCTGTGATGTTTTCAGAGTTTTCAGAGTCCTATCTTCACTTTGTTTACATCGCCCGGACGGCCAGCTGACTCCTCCCCTCGTGTATAAAAGTTGTTTAATTGAGGGACTAGAGAAAAGAAGAATAACATACTGTACTCACTGCTTAACTGTGTTTCTAGATCACGCTCATTTCAGGTAAATTTACATGCAGTGTGAAGATACCAGCATAATAAAGATCGCTAGCATTAGCATGCTAACACAACAATGCAGCGTGAGTTGTTTTGGTTTCATGCTGGTGCTCAAGGGCGACATCTGCTGGATCAAGAAATCACATATAAAGCCTTTTAAAAACAAAAAAAAACACAAATGTAAAGGAGTTATGAGACCGGGTGGGGAATGATCAGACTGAATAGATGTGTTTTGAGATGAGATTTGAAAATGGAGAGAGAGTCAATATTACGGATTTGTGGTGGGAGGGAGTTCCAGAGGTGGGGGGGGCAGAGCGGCTGAAGGCCCTGGACCCTCATGGTGGACTAAAGTGCTTAGTTACTTACTGAGGGGTTAGTGAACAATGCACACTCAAACTCACGTCGGAAAGTCATATCCAGCGATGTGTCACAGTCTGGTTAAAACTTTCTCCTCTGTGTGACTCACTGCGTGTGTCTTCTTCATGTTACATAACCATTATCTGCTTTTCCCTCACAGGTGAGTCAGTTGTACCTGAGCTCCACGGGTCGTCTGTGCTCCTCTCTGCCGCCTCACATCTTCTCCTCAGCGGAACGAGCTTACCACATGATGCTGCTGGAGAGGCGCCCGCAGTGTTTCATCCTCAGGTGCGTCCTGCAAACGGTCGCTCTCAGAATCTTGGACAGAAATGTCAACAAAGTGGAAAAAAAAGTGTGGATTTTAATGGTTCAGTCTGCCCCCCTGGTTTGTTCACACCGCTCTCCCAGGCGACTGGTCTACACTCTGTGAAAGATGAATACCGAGATGTACACCTGAGCATTCACACACAGATGGCGGTTTGCTGGTAGCATTGTCGCGTCTCGCTCTTTGTCCACGGATGGACGGAGGCAGCTCCCTGATTGCAATTAAATTCTGTTCCGGCTCTCCAGTGACATTCCTGCTGAGTTGTAACCAATCTGGCAGAGAGTTAATGCATCCCGGGCCACAGGCTATCCATCTCAATCACACACGCACACACAAACTAACACACGTGCACAGGGTAGGACATTGTACTTTGCATTCTCATGCACACACACTCCCCTGTCTCCATTATTTCCCTGCTCCACTTTATCCTTCCTTTCGGGTTTCTCTTCTGTCCAAGCTTCCTGTGTCCCTTTTTAATTTTTCCCACACATGCACTCAACATGCACTCACACACTCTCCTTCACAATTACAGGGAATCAGCGGCCATCATCCCTCGAGGCCAGTGCTCTAACAACATGCCCTTGAAATCTAATAAAACCAGTAAATGAAAAGACAGCAGAAAGGCCATTGGACCTCACACTCTGCAAGGCCGCACTCAGTAGGAAATATAGCAGTGCACATAGTACACACTGACAAACAGCACACCCATAGCACAGTGCAGTTATTAGTAAGGGCTCCTGACCTTCTGAAGCCATCTGCCTGCTGTTACTATTCTGTTCTCAACTCTCTGCATGTCTGTGTCAGAGCACGACCGTACAGATACCATACGAAAGATTTAATATCAACATCATATGAAATTAAAAAACAATTGAAAAACAAAAAATTGTTGTATGACAAATAAGGCAAGACAAGTTTATTTATGTCGCACATTTCAACAACAAGGTAATTCAAAGTGCTTCACACAAGACATGAAAAAGCATCATGACAGAGGAAAGAAAAGAAACATTAAAATAGAAAACTAAAAAATCACTGAAATTATTAAATCTGAAAATATGTTCAAATAAAAATAATTCAAATGAAATTAACTGAAATAAAAAAAGTACAAATTTAAAAAGAGTTAAAAGTTACAGTGCAGAGTTAAAGTTTAAAATCTTATTAAAGCTGTTTAATGAAAGGCAGCTGTAAACAGGTGAGTCTTCAACCTGGATTTAAAAGAGCTGAGAGTTTCAGCAGACCTGCAGTTTTCTGGGAGTTTGTTCCAGATATAAGGAGCATAGAAGCTGAACGCTGCTTCTCCATGTTTGGTTCTGACTCTGGGGACAGAGAGCAGAACTAAGAAATAATGTCTAGATTGTGATGGTGTGGGGGCCCCTAAAGGGGTGATGTCAGGTGGGTGGAGGCATATAGCTTAAGTAACAGATGTGAGGAAACACCCTGGTGACTCATGCATAACAGCTTTTTCCTCCAAGACACATTAGGAGAGGTGTTAGACCCACACATACACACATTGAGATTCTTTAACTGTTAGGTTTGCTTTTTCCTTTTTATTGAGTTTTTAACTTGAACAGTACAAATCGCTGCATGATGAACAGAATACAAAATATAAAGCCACCCATCCCTACCCAAACCCTCTCATCTCCCTGATCCACCACCCAAAACCACCCTCAGCCCCCCCCCCGCAATGCTTTTAACAACAATGAAAGCATAATGTACTGTCTACATTTACACATATACATACATTTATCCACATACAGTTAGTGAACACGAATACTCCAGGCATTTGCAGCTGCTCCTATTAAACCCCATAATCATAAAGAGGGCTATGTGTCATTCCAATTTGTTATCCCAGTAACAGTTTTTACTTTACTTTTAATTATATCTCTGGTTATCTAGTCATTATTAGGATTGTTTTTCCACTACAGCTGCTGTGGTTCTATTTCCTAACTTTTATTTGCTTTCTTTTTTTTCCTGAAAATGTTTCACTTTTTGAAACAATGCCAGTAGTTATAGCAATATCCTCTCCATAAGCATTAGTTCAATTAAATATTCATTTAGTTCTCTTTCTATAGTGGTGAAAGTGGTTCTGGAAAATCCGAGGCATGTAAGCACATAGTGAGACACCTGACAGCCCGCTCCAGCCCCAAAGGCCTCGCCTTGGAGTCCAGAATGAAACATGTAAGTATGTGGGTGCTCATCCTGAAAGCTCATTTGGCTTAGGAACATGTGGCATTACCACAATATCATCTGTATTATACATTTAATATTTTGAGTGACAAAAAACAAACTGAATATTGTTATATTTCTCTCCATGCGTACTTTACCAAACTGCATTTCATCTCTGATCAGAACTCCATTTCCTCTTTGATGAAAGTTTAGATAGCACACAGTGTGCTGTGGTGTTGTTCACAGCTGTGTTAAAGGGTTAACATGTGATTTTTCACACTTAAATGTAGAAATCAAGTATATCCTCTGAAAATAACTCTGTGAGCCATGAGTGTCTACAATGGGTGTAACACCCGAGTCCCACTGTCTGTGATGTTTTCAGAGTTTTCAGAGTCCTATCTTCAGTTTGTTTACATCGCCAGGACGGCCGGCTGACTCCTCCCCTCGTGTATAAAAGTTGTTTAATTGAGGGACTAGAGAAAAGAAGAATAACATACTGTACCTCACTGCTTTGACCCTCTGGTTGATTGCATCATTAAAATACCCTTAAGGATGGCTCATTTAGTAATGTGTCTGTATGACATAACCGTTTGCAGAAGAGAACATGTTTGGGCATTATTTGTGATAAGTTACAGCCTAAAGAGTATTGATGAGATGAGAGTACAGTAGAATATCAATATCCCACATCCACTCACATCACATTGGGACATTTTCATGGTGCTTCCCACATGGTTCCCCAGCTCCGTGCTCAGTCTATCAGTTGGTTAACAAAGCAGTGTGTTGTCTTGAAGTAAAGAGCTTCGTTCTGATGAAGTCATCGCTGTGTCGTCCATAACTGGGTCAGCTCACTCTCTGATCATGCTAGGACACAGACATTTATAAATACACACAAAATGGATGAATATCGACATCTAGTGGTTGACAGAGGAATGGAAGCAGAAATTAATTTAAGTCTTTGAAAAAGATAGATACAAGTTTTTTTTAATCCTTACTAGTAAACCTTCATAATCCATTCTTGAATTCATTTCTTATGATATTCCAATAACTGATCGAATGTCGGTTTGTTTGATCAAACATGCAGGTTAACTCTATCCTGGAGGCCTTCGGTCATGCAAAGACTCAGAAGAACAACAACTCAAGCCGCTTTATAAAGCTGTTGACCATCCAATACTGTGACAAGAGGAGGACGCTGCTCAGAGGTAAACACTCATTCATTTAATTTAACACAGAATGTAAAATGATCGGTTTGTTTTTTTGTAGTTTTCACTTTCACTTTGTTAAGTGGTTTCTTTATTCAACATATAAGACCTGAGTAGGATTACAAGTACTTGATTCTTCTTTATATTTAAATTTTTTAGTTTACACACATTTGTTCTTTATTATTATATAACTAGAATATGTATTTCCATGGTAACTTTGCTGATAGTTATTGCTTCTTTTAATGCTCATCTTGTGATTATTCAACGAAGGCAGCAGACATGAAATTCACAACACATCCATGTCACAGCAACACTGTATAATAGATTTCAGATGCAGTGTCTTGAAACACCAGCAGGGGGCAGTAAAAGCCCATGAGTCTGTACTCCATTTCTGCAGGCGTGCTCACCTTATTTTACCCCAGTTAATTCTATCACTCAGCACTGACCACTTAACAGTGGCAACAGAATGACTCTTCAGTACTGCCACTGTCAGCACTCTGTGAACGTTGTTTTACACACCTGTTATTAAAGTATGAACCACGTCTGATGTTTTTAGCTCGACTGTACACGTACATGCTGGAGAAGTCCCGCCTGGTGCACCTGTCTCCTCAACAGCACAGCTTCAGCATCTTCTATCTGATGGCTGAAGGCATGTCGCCTGAGGAGCATAGTGCACTTTACCTCAACAATGTCCTGACTCATAGGTATGTGTTGGTCAGTCTCTGTTTGTATAATAATGAGAGTTTGTAATGTTGTAATAAGCGGCTCAATCCCAAAATGTTCACATTATACAATGGTATGAGATACCCTGAGAGCCTGTTTTAGTGCTGTTAAAGGCTTTCTATGTGATTTTTCACACTTAAATATAATATAAATCAAGTCTATTCTCTGAAAATAACTGAGAGTCATGACTGTCTACAATGCCGAGTCCCACTGTCTGTGATGTTTTCAGAGTTTTCAGAGTCCTAGCTTCAGTTTGTTTACATCGCCAGGACGGCCGGCTGACTCCTCCCCTCGTGTATAAAAGTTGTTTAATTGAGGGACTAGAGAAAAGAAGAATAACATGCTGTACTCACTGCTTAACTGTGTTTCTAGATCACGCTCATTTCAGGTAAATTTACATGCAGTGTGAAGATACCAGCATAATAAAGATCGCTAGCATTAGCATGCTAACACAACAATGCAGCGCAAGTTGTTTTGGTTTCATGCTGGTGCTCAAGGGCGACATCTGCTGGATCAAAACATCACAAAGCCTTTAACTGTCAACATCTGTATAACTGTAATTCTTCATTTGTTTGTGCCTTTATCTGAATGTTCTTACTTTATCTGTTTTGTTTTTCTGCTTCATTTTTCTCTACTCATGCGTGTTCTAACTAAAGTGACCGTGAGTCTGACTGTGCTGTTATCTACTGTATGCCACCGGTGTTTTAAGCATTGACCTGAATCAGTCTGCAGCTTGGAACAATACTGGAACCCCTAGAATCACAACAAACCTATTGAGTCTTTCTGGGTTTGCTCGTTCACGTTCTGCAGTTTTCAAACCTTATTTTCACTTCTCCATAATGTTTAATGGTCTGTATGTCATTTTGCACAAAACTTTTTTGCACAAAAAAACAACATTTTGCTTTGAGGTCTTTCCAATCCAAAGAAATGTACACAAAGCCCTGCTGAGCACATTGATCCACTTATCATAGAGTCTACTTCCTCATTTGTTTGTTCTGCTTGTGTCGTTGGTCGATATAATGTGGTCTTTATCGCCTCATCATCTTGTCCTTATTCCAGGTATCTTAATGGAGCAGTTGCGGGGGAAAAACCTCCAGTAGCGACAGCCTCGATCCAAAGCAGGGAACGCCTGGCAGCAGTCAAACAAGCCCTGCGAGCCCTGGGCTTCAACAAGCAGGTATCGATTGACTTCTGTTCTTCCTGTTTATTCAAAAGGTTGTTGACAGCAGGGATCATTCAAAGTGTTGATGTCAGAGAACCTGAAATAGCCACTTATGAGGTTATTGATGGGATGTACCTGAGAATTTAGCTACCTAGAGTCACAGCTCGGATCCTGTAAGAGATGTGCACACAAAAATGGATCCTACAGAGTATCTTTACATTATTTTAACTTCAGCCATATGGAGAGCATAACTAAAGGGGTTTTTTTTGGACCACAATCTACTAGTTAAAGACATGGTACATTGTAATCTCAGACTTCTTAAGTTGATGAATATTGCACATAGAATAGAATATGTTCCCTTTCATAATTGAGTACAGTGTGCATTCTGAGGATCATCATCATAAACCTTTATTTAAGTTCTCGGAGAGATCATTGAGGGAAACCCGCATTTACAATGATGCAGAGAAAACATACATAAATGATAAACAACGAGAAATTAGATAAAGCTACTACAGAAAATAAAAGAGCAATAAGAACAATACAATATGTACACTGAAATAATTTTAAAGGTTGAATTTACAACAGTGATAAGTCAGTAATTAAAATCAAATAAGACAGTTACAGTCAGGTATTTGATACAAGAGGCTGCAAGCACACATCCTGCATAAATGTTTAGATTTCTTCAAATGATGTTTTCAGATATCTATCACAAGACAATATATGACGCGTCTGATCACATACAAAGGGTGCTGTACAGTCTGTCCTGTGCACCACCATCGCCCGCCTTGTTCCCGGGCCCATTATCACGTTCTATTCTTAGATTCCCAGTCAGCATCTGTCAGCAGTGAGTGACCACTATCTCACCTTTTAATCCAGCGACAGTAAATACACGCAGGGGAGGCTCAGGGGACAGAGGAAGAGAGCGATAGATAGCGGTATTATCAGAGGCTAGTAGTAGTGCCCGCTGGATAAGACAGAACGTGTACAGAAGAGGGGGGGGGGGGGGGGTCATAGTGGAAGTGATAGACCACCACCACCCATTGGTCTCTGTCTTAAGTCTAATCAAGGGACGACTCCAAGTCCAGACCCAAAAGGTCAATCGTCATTAACACTCCTTTTCTCTCCCTCACTCCCCATTCTTCTCACGCCAAAGAGAGGGGGGGGGGGGGGGTCTGTCTGCGTATTGAGTGTCAGACAGAGACTAATGCTCGTGTTTATCTCCCAGATATCAGCTCCAATATCCTGCCTTGAGAGAGTGCACTGCACACGGCATACATATTCAAACACAAGCACACGCGGTAAACTCAAACATCCCCCTCTTGTAGAACCAGAGCGGGGGGGGGGGGGGGGGGGTTCCAGAGCGTCCTCTACTCAAGGGCAGAGAGAGAGGGAGTTAGAGGGGGCACAGAGGAAGAGGAATGTGTGAATGAAAGGAGGGAGGACATCTAATTTCCTTTATGCAGTTAATGGTTTTAAGGTTTTACTTTTGTGCATTTTGCATTAAATTGGATGATAGGAGACAAGTTCTTCTACATTTATTTTTGCTCTCTCTCTCGTTTTTTTCTTCTTTTCTCTCTATCTCTCTCTTTTTCTTCTTTTCTCTTGTCTCTCTCTCTCTCTCTCTCTCTCTCTCTCTCTCTGTCAATACGCAATAGGTTAGTCAGTCCTTCAAGACTTTTTCTGTCACACTGAGCCCTGAAGTTGGCTTCTACTTAAAATACAAATCTTTTCAAAAAGAGTTAAAAAAAAAACAATAGAGTTTAATTTTTTACTAAAGATCACATTATCTTGTCAACAGTTGGACACTGAAAACCTGAGCAAATGTTATTACAACAGAAGTAGCTGGGTCTATGTGGAGTTCAGAATTTGATTTGTCCGGGATGTATCATGTAATTAATCAACTTTGGAGTTCAGTATTTTCTTTTAAGGAAAACAAATCTGTAGAGAAATATAAAATCGATCCGGCTCAGGCCACACAATGAAGAAAAGAAATTCCATATTTTTAATTCTGTCAAAATGGTTTCAACGGCTAAGCAATTAATAGTTTATGTTTGTCTAACTGCTCTTCATCTCTCTCTTTTCTAGGAGGTTGACTCAGTGTTTATGCTGCTATCCGCTGTTCTCCATATTGGGGACCTACGTTTTACAGCATTGACAGATGCCGACACAGCCTTCCCCTCTGACCTGCAGCTGCTGGAGAGAGGTCAGTGCCTCTGTCACATGACCACCGTCGCATTTCCAGCTAGTCTGGAGGTTTGAGCCTGGACGGGGAAGGACGGGTGCATGACACCCTCTTATCTTTGTTTACCTCGTCGTCATCCCTCCTCCCTTTCTTTTTCCACTGGACTTCTGCTTGCCAGTGCTAGCTTAACGCCAGAGACTCACTTATTTGAAAAATCCTCCTTTTCTGCTTAAACATGGACGTGAAAAGCGCTGTTACAAACACCCTTTGTGGCTGTTTTTCTCTCTGTCTCGCTCATAGTTCAACCTCTACATGTGCTTCTATGACCTCTGACCTCAGTGAGCTGGTAAACAAATGACATCAGCGCCTGAACAGGAAACAGTTACCGTTAGTTGTCAGGGAGATGTGATGTCAAAGCTAGTGATGTCAGCAAAGGGATTCTGGTTTGCTGTCACCTGTTTTTTTTTTTGTTTTTTTTCCACTTGTTTGTGGCCTCTGCTCAGAAATCCATTGATGACTAATAGCTGCCAGCTCCAAAGATCAATTAGACAGGAATGATCTGCAGCAGAGCTAGGCTTGTTATTCAGCAGCGTGATATCATCATCAGAGCGGGAAAGAGCAGATGGGATTGTGGGATGTTATCTGCTCTACCTTTCTGATACGCACTTCCTCACAGGAAATGTTTTAACGCGGATATTTTGATCTTGTACCCCTAATTTATTCTGCCTCTCTCTCTCTGTGTCTCCCTCCTTTCTCTGCACAGTGGCTGGAATGTTACAGCTGTGCTCCAAAGACCTGAGCACTGGCCTGACCTCTGATGTTCAGTACTTCAAAGGTATCCTCCTCTCTCACCTGCCTTCACCGTCACTTGACCGTTACTGTTAAACACACAGCAGCAGAGTCGATCTGTTTAAAAGCTAATCAACTGAATCATCTGAACTGAAATGAAATGTTGAGGAAAAATCTAATCAGCCTTCCATGTCTCGCTCTCAGCTTCTAATAAAGTATAGCAGCTTAGTTGTATAGAAGCAGTATATCATCATGCAGCACTATTGACCACAGTGTTTAGGGAATAAGCGACAAAGATCACACTTGAGAAATATTTTATGTGAGATCAAAAAACTCCCGATAATTGTCAGAAAACGTTTTTCAGACTGCAAGGATTTTTGTGTTGAACATTGGTATTTTCCGATATCATCCCTGTTGAAAGATAAAGATAAACTTTATTGATCCCCCATGGGGGAAATTTCTTTGTCACAACAGCTCAAGAAACAGGAATATAATTATCAAAAATAACAAGAAATTAAAAATCAAACATGGACATCAGTTAAATAAAGGGAGAAAAATAAATACAGTAATAGAATAATACAAGGTATGTACACTTCCACTTGTGGAAAGAGTTATTATTATTAAAAACACACACAGTGTGTAACATTATTGATATGAGTGGAGATGCTAGAAAGACATCAACCCTTTGGCAAATAATAATAAAGCTGGCACGCTATTTCTATATATATATATATTCTATATACGCTGTTCTATATCAAAATGATGAAATGTTAAAAATTTGGGTTCAATATCCTTTTTCTCACAGGTGATGTGATCACTCGGCGCAACACGGTGGAGATGTCAGAGCAGTACAGAGACCATCTCGCCAAGGCCATCTATGGACGCCTTTTCAGCTATCTAGTCAACCGTATCAACGACTACCTGCAGGGGCAGGACGACAGCATCGGGTATGGCAGTGTGTGTGTGTGTGTGTGTGTGTGTGTGTGTGTGTGTGTGTGTGTGTGTGTGTGTGTGTGTGTGTGTGTGTGTGTGTGTGTGTGTGCACGCCTGTGTGTGTGTGTGTGTGTGTGTGTGTGTGTGTGTGTGTGTGTGTGGGGGGGGGGGCAGGCGCGGGTGCCTTTAAGCTTTTTCTGTGTGAACCCCCATTCAGATTTCTTTGGAAGTCCAGGCTGTTGATAACTGTAACCACAGACTCTTATATCTGTCAGCACACAGGAGCAGTCACTGTTTGTGAGCACGCTGATATTGTAACATGACTCACAGTTTACAGTTGAGGTTTGTAATAGTTTACGTTGCATGACATTCAGGGATAGGCATGCACACTGAAGAAGAACATACTGAGCAAAACAGGGTCGAGATACAGAACACACCCAAGGTTATGTAGAGGCCTCGTACACAAAATGTTAAATGCACACACACACAAACAAAAAACAGGCACACACACGCACAAACACTTCTAGCTGGAGGCCAAGGGATCCTTGGTTGTTGTTGATGTTGTGAAGTCTTATCACATAGATAACGCACGTTCCATCTCCTGGAATGTTTTTGTGCTTCGCCTTGTTTATACACCAACCGCAGAATGTAATAAATTTGTCAACCACAATGCTTACTCGGGACACACCCCCTTCAGATGTGTTATTGCTCTTTAACACTCACTCATAAACACACACAAACACACACACACATGAGCATTCCTATCAGGGTGAACACAAGCAAGAGAAAAAAGTTCTCACGTTGAAAAAGAAGTAATGTTGACAAAAATATGCTCTTGTTCTTCATAATTCCTTGTAGGGATCCTGCCTTGGAAATTGGGATCTTGGACATCTTTGGGTTTGAAGAATTTCAGAGGAATGGCTTTGAGCAGGTGGGACATTACTTGTTTTTATTAGATTTCAGTGCAAATTAAAAAAAACATGAATGCCATTTTCCACTTCCCCCTCCTGCTGACAGTCATTTCTCCCGCCTAATACATTTACGACATCCCCCTAATTAACCTCATAGGCTCTAAAAGCTGAAATCTCTCTGAATACTTTGCTGTGTGGTAGTTTCAAACAGATCATAATCTAATAAGTAACATTTTTTTGGACTTTGTTTTTCTATTTTAGAGTGTAATTGTAATGAATGAAGGGAGGTCTGTGGCGTGATTCTCAGCTGTCCTCAAATGAACTCACACAATGACTGCCTGTGTCTGAGAAGTCAGAGTGCAGCTTCAAACCAGTGTTTTTGTGTGTGTGTGGATGTGTCTTTGTTTGTGTTTGTGTTTGTGTGTGAATCTTATTTCTACATTATAATTCATGTCAGATTTGAAGGCTTACCAGATGATTTCATTTTGATACTTTGGGCTGCAACAAAAATTCATTAACAACTAATTTTTCAAAAATCAAATTATGGTCCTTTTTTTTCCCAAACTATATTTGTTGCGCAATAAAAAAGTGTTATGAGAAAATGCTGTTGACTGTATTCAATGAAAATCCCCTAAACAAGCATGTCATAGAGCTCAGTTTACAACATTTAGATCCTGACGTCAGCACACCAATAACTCCTTTCCAGAGAGTTTTTGAAATCCTGTTTTCCACAATGATTGGAAGCTTTAACACAAGTTTACCTTGTACATTAAGACGTTAGAATTTCACGTAGAAATATTGGAATAGATTTTGACAAGGCAAGGCAAGTTTTTTTTATGTCGCACATTTCAACAACAAGGCAATTCAAAGTGCTTCACACAAGACATCAAAAGCATCATGACAGAGGAAAGAAAAGAAACATTAAACATTAAACATTAAAAAAAATCACTGAAAATTATTAAATCTGATAATATGTTGAAATAAAAATAATTCAAATTAAATTAATTGAAATAAATAAAATAAAAATATAAAAAGAGTTAAAAGTTACAGTGCAGAGTTAAAGTTTAAAATCTTATTAAAGCTGTTTAATTAAAGGCAGCTGTAAACAGGTGAGTCTTCAACCTGGATTTAAAAGAGCTGAGAGTTTCAGCAGACCTGCAGTTTTCTGGGAGTTTGTTCCAGATATAAGGAGCATAGAAGCTGAACTTGTTTTGATATAACCTAGTACTTAATTGTGTCTATTCGCGGGTGGATCAACATGTCTGTAATGCTCGGTTGTTTTCACGTTGTCACTTTGTGTTGATGACATTGCATGGTGTTTCCCAGAACAACATGTGTTTCTCTATAGTGCTCACCTGTTATTGGCTGTAAATATGTCAAGTGCTCATCAAGCATGCACTCTTAATAGACTTCCCCATTGTAGTACCAGCAGGGATCAAGGCAGACAAGTGCCTATATAACTGTGTGTGTGTGTGTGTGTGTGTGTGTGTGTGTGTGTGTGTGTGTGTGTGTGTGTGTGTGTGTGTGTGTGTGTGTGTGTGTGTGTGTGTGTGTGTGTGTGTGTGTGTGTGTGTGTGTGTGTAAGGTGTCTTAGGGTGTAATTCATAGAGCTCAAGAGGATAAGTACTTATTCCTGCTACTCAGAGTTTATGTCCCCCCCTCCCTGTGGAGCTCTCAATCTCCTCCCAGCTTTTATTAAGGCCTTTCTGTGTTTGTCTTTGCTTTTCGTGTGAGTGTTAGTTGTAAGTTTGTGCGTGTATGTGTGTGAGTGTTGTATGTGCTAAGTTGACAGTGGCCCTTCCGAATGGAAGCAAAGGATTGTGTCATGTGCTGGAAATTTCCGTTAACAATGCAAAAGAAAGGATCATGAGTCAATCAATGTCTTTGTTTAGTTTAATTCTTCTTGCAAGTAGAAGGAACAAAGCTTCAGAGTGTCAATACAGTCTGAAGGAAAGCTCCAAGTAATCACAATATGCTCAGGTTTATATACACATGCTTCACAGAAAAACCTTCATCCCTATATAAGGATTGCCGATACAGGCGCAGTCAAATATCAAAGACATTTTAACACGTTGCACAACAGTAATGTCAAGGAAACTTCAAGTCTGAGTATCTTTGATATTTAGCTATTTGTGAGAAACCTTCATCCTCGGGTAAAGACAAAACAGCAATATTACGTATTAAATTATTGTAGCATTTCTCAAGCGAGCTGTAAGTAAAATGTGTCCTCGACAGTAAACAGAATTTTTCCATTACAGTGACCCAGGGTTAACCTTAGCTCAGGTGCAGTTGTCCTGCAGATAAAATATATCAACAAACAAAACGTTGAGAAATATGCCACATAAACAATAATCAAAAATGAATAATGGAATATTGTGACACCCTCACGCACAGACAATATTTGTCGACCATTTTCCCCCTTTTTTATCTGCTTAAGATCACCAATCATGATCACTACACTAATGTACAGTTTCCGCTGTTCTTCACTCCTTAGGTGTGCAAGTCATTTTTGACATTTTTATTAAAAAGGTGCTTCTAATGGTTAGGCTGCTGTCAAATCAGCAAAAACAAGCAAAGAAAAATGGAAAGAGACAGAGAGAGATAGAACAGCCGTGGTTCTGTTGTTTATGTGTTTGTATCATGAACACATGGAAGGAATTCGACTTGGTGTTTTGGTGCAAAACAATTAGCAAAGAAACTTAAATGAAAATAACAAGATCAAATTATGAAAAGCGATATAAAGTTTGTTTAATATAATTTAAAAGTGGAAGAGATGCCATGAAGGAGCTGTGCAGTTGATTTTCAGTGTAAATCACTTTTTAAACACACCCCAGGCACCACTGCGCTTGAAACAAAAGTTTTGTTTCCTAAAAGATGTTTAGCCAAGAGAACGTAAATATTAACTTGAATTATACAAAACAAACATATTATCAGCTGCATATCATTCAGGGGTCTCCAACCTTTCACAGTACCGATACCTAACCTCTGCTAACTGTTCAATATTACTTGTGCAATAACTTTGTAATTCACTGCTTTATAATTGTTTATTTATTTACTCAGTCACTGCACTTTAACTTTAACTGTCTATTTATTTATTCATTCATTGTACTTTATTTACTCATCCAGTCACTGCACAATGTATATACTCTTTCACTGCACTATAACTTCACTTATTTGCACTTTATCTCTCTCTATATATTTGTTTACCTAATCAGTCACTGCACAATAATAACTGTATATATTCTTTCAGCCACCACATTATTATTATTCAGTCACTGAACAGCAATTGCTCTGGCCACTTTTCTCAAACATATTTGTCTTTATATAACCACAAATATATTTTTATATATGTGAACTGTTTTTGTAAACGCTGCTGTATAGGATTGCTGCTAACTAAGTTTTGTTGTGTCCTTGTATACAATGATAATAAAGATTCTATCTTTCTATCTATATGCCATCTGCTGATGGTGGGCATCACCCTGTTTTATGCTGAGTTTTGTTTTTTTCTGAACAAAACAAAACACTTTGCCTGTTTTTTTTTTATGATGTCAGGAAATTGTGCTGTTGCATGTTGTGATTACTTTCTCTTTGGACTCCTTCAAGCTCGCTGCCTGTGGTGCACTGAGTTAAATTAAACCATGATTTGAGAATGAGACGCACGTTAGGCTGAGTGGTGCTGTACACAATTCTGAGAATACTTTAAAGAAAACTATTTCCTGCAATAACACAAACAGCATTTGTGATTTTTCTGTGCTATTCATTGCTGTCAAATGTAGTTTATTCAGCATATATGGCCATTTATAGCATATGTCCGTAATTCCGGCTCGTTAACGGCCAAATTGGCTGTCAAAACAAAAAATCCACTCGGGTGTGACCTCTTCTTCAGGTCCCAGAGAAGAAAAAAATCACATACTACCCCACCACCCACAGAATCCAGGATACCAGGAGCGAGTCTCTGAATAAACAATCATGATGAGTATCTCTTAAGGTGTAGGAGGCACATCAGTGGCAAACAACCCCCTCACACTCTTGATATGTTTGTACACACACAGATACACACCCACATGCAGACGAGTTCACAGTCACACCTCACATGCGCTGCGAGATCAGAGTCATTAGCGCTTGTTAATTAGAGCGTGTTTGTCAGGGGTGTGTTGTACCTGCTCAGCACTTTGCCAATGAGCTAACTCAATCAACCACCTGCTGGGACTAAAGCCTTTAATGTACTAGACCGGCTCAGAGGCGATGAACAGACAAACACGTAGTGAAGAAAAACAGGAGACACACACCTTCAGATCAGATCTCGATGCAGCGGCCTGTCGGTTGAAATATGGACCAAAAGTGCTGTTTTTGGTACATTCATGTGACAGTGTCCAAAAAAGAAAAGCAACAAAATAAAGAAAACTAGAGCTCGCTTTTCTGTATGATCATCAATAGAACATGAAGCCTTTTCTGTAAGCCCTGTGAAAATGTTTACCGCACAGATAAAGATTTCAAGGCTTTTCTTTTCTTTGAGCACTAAATACATCAACTTTTTTAAGTTACATAAAGCACACAAACTTTAGAGTGCAAAACAAAGAGGCAGCAAATCCCGGGTTGAAAACAAGGACACCACTCACAAGAACACAAGTGAAGGGTTCATTCCTCGACTACAGCGATGTAAGATTTATTTATTTTTTTACTTTTGAGCTGTGTGACACATTCAGGTTCAGGAGAAGTTTAAACAGGGCCTCACTGCTGCTGCACTCTGATGTCCTGAGTTGTTCCACCACAGAGTCTACGTTTTTTCTGCTCATTACATCGATGTGACAAGCCACACTTGAGCCATCCCTCCAGAGTGCCACACACACACACACACACACACACACACACACACAGCAGATAAACAAACCCATTTTTATTGTCAACTCCCTGTGCTGTGCTTTGATTGGTCGACTGCTGGGTTAGTAAAGGTTCATGTGTCCCAGCAGGAAAGCTTTGTCCATATTAAATTATGATTGAAAAGGTCCTACACAGGGGCGAGTAATACTACATATCAGGGGTGGGCAACTGGTGGCCCGGGGGCCACAAGCGGCCCCCATCAACCCTCAACGTGGCCCTTAGGTTAATTTTGTCATGAAAAAAACATGACAAAATCTGCCATGAAATCATGAAAACCAGAAATATGTCCATAATAATATTTGATCACTGGTATATGTTGAGTTAAAGTTGAGACATAATTGACTGTAATCAATTTTATATCCTACAATTTGGCCCTCTGGCAGTAAGAATTAAATGAATGTGGCCCTCGCTGTGACCAAAGTTGCCCATCCCTGCTACATATCATGCATGAGATGTCTCCTTTAACTGTTCTCCTGATTTTGGGATTGAAGTGTCTGATATAAGTTGTCATTTCCTTCCTGTCCCGTTGACTGCCCACAGTGGCTTCTGTTTTGAGATTTTATTCCTATATTTCTTTGTTTACCAAAAGGAACACATTACACTAATACCTCGAAGGAGTAGCTTCATGCCGGGAAATCGCTGAAGTGTGTGTGTTTACAGGTTGATGTTTGTGTGTGCATTCCAGCTGTGCGTGAACATGACCAATGAGCGGCTGAGGCAGTACGTCTCCGAGGTGCTATTCCAGCAGGAGCGGGCCGAGTGTATGCAAGAAGGCATCACCATGGAGACCTCAGGCTCCCACGGCAACCAGTCAGCTGTTCTAGACTTCTTTCTGCAGGTAACGTATGATGCTGTGTCAGAACAATACATTACCTTTAAGACTGGTGGTAGCCCAGGAGCTCTATTTGTCCCGTAATACTGTTTAATGGGAACCTGTTTACATTTATGCAACTTTAAAACATGAATGTATTTCTGTCATTGGAATTAAATTGTGGATTTGAAGGGTTGTGTTTAAATATTTCAGAAAATGTATAAGAACAAAGTTATCAGACTGTATGAAATTTGCAGTTAGTGTGTTTTGTGTGTTTTCCTTCTAATTTCTGAGGAAGTGAAGACTGAATTGTCAGATTTGTTTTATGTTGATATTCATTCATTGATTGTAATTTGGACAGACCAGATATTTATTGTTTTGCTTTTTTTGAGTAAGGGGGCAGGCAAAACAAGATTTATTCTTCTCCCTGCTCCTTTCTGTACATGGGATAAAGTGTGAATTGTTTTATTTTTTTTTCTGTTTTGTGTTTTTACATGTACGGAACAAACAAATAAAATAAAAAATTAGATTAACATTTTCACTCCACTTTTCCTTTTATCTCTATTAAAAATGTACAAAAAACTGTTTGTCGTCCCTCCAGAAGCCGCAGGGACTGCTGTGTGTCTTAGACGAGGAGAGCCAGAGTCTGAGGCCAGCAGAGCAGACCATGTACAAGAGGCTGTCCACCCAGCTAGACTCCAATCCCACTCATGGCCTCTCTTTTACAACTAAGGACGGCAACGGAAACCCCCCCACCTAAAGACCAGGGTCCGGCCTTCACTGTCAACCACTTCGCCGGACAGGTGTGTGTGCTTTATAGAAACATGAAGAGGTGCACATACAGGCGTTGATGCTGGAGAGAATAATACAAATCCTTTACTTTAAATATATTAAAGTCAACTTCTTAACCCTGCAGGCGTTATAATGAGGATATTTGCCTTCATATCGATGCTATGTGTAATCCAATGGAATGACAACATCCACAAAAGAGAGGAGAACAACAAACTGATGAACAGAAAACAGAATGCAGACGTTTAATTAGAGCACAGAGAACGTAGAGGTCGCGTGCAGACGCTTTAGACAGTCACTATATAAACGTCATTCTCTTTCTATTGGCTCAAATTGAAATCTCTGGAGTATATGCTGCTGCGTTCAGACATCAGCTCACTCGGACTTTCTGCGGATAAAATACTAGAGGTCTGGAGGAGAAACTCTGGGTAAAGTCCGCGCGAAAAATGCGTCTGTTTGCGTTCACACAGCCTAAAGAACCTCCAGGTAGACTAATCTCTGGAGTTTTTCAGGAGATTTCCGAATGTGTGAAAAGGGTTTGAGGGACTTTTCCTTACACTAAAGTCACAGGCTGCCGTGCATAGAATATATCAAGTGTTTGTGCTGAACTTCTAAACCTTTTTTCAAACTCAACAGAGAACATACTTTTGTTCTCATAATCTTCCCTTGGTGGGAAATTTGCTTTTTAATTTGCTCTGTTATGTAAGTCGTTGGTTAATAGAACATTTGTGATGTATATAAAATATAAAAAACGTACATTATAATAACGCAACATTTAACTTTATCTTACTTAAATATAAAATGTTATTTGATTACTGTTTTCTTATTGGTCAAAGGTGGCACATGTTCAATGCTAGGTTAATAGGCGTTTTCGGACTGCAGGAACTTTTTCATAGTTCCAGGAACTGTTGGAACCCTCCCTTTATTTTTAAGTGGTTCTGCACCACAGGAACTATGAACTATTTTAGTTCCTAGAACCCGGTTTAGAGGAACCTCTTTAGCTACTGCTACAGAGTAGGTACCATGGTGGTGCAAAGGCAGACAGAGAAAAAGTCCGGGTGGTGTGAAGGTCTCAGGGAACTCTCTAGAGGATAGTTCTGCTTCAAAAAGTCCCCAGAACTGTTTGGTCTGAAAACAACTTTTGTAGTCCTATATGACGTTCATTTTTCCAAACATGAGTAACCTCAAATCCCTAAAGTCAGTTCAGCTGGTAAACACAAACTTCCCAATGACTAAAAAATAAACATTTAGGTTAAATCAATAGGCCAAACTTTATGAAGACGTTGTTGAGGTTTTAATGCGACAAAATGCTTTATGCAAGGAACTCCAATTGATGCATTTACAAAGGTAAGTTTGATTTATTAATGACTTTGTAACAAACTGTTTCAGTAGCTCTCTGTGTATGATATCTTTTTTAAACAGATTTCTTATGACCTCACCGGATCCCTCAAACGAAACAAGGACTCCCTTCCTCAGAATCTGTTGTTTACGATGAAGTGTAAGTACCCAATTAAAAAAAACAAGCATATGAGCACATTGTGGCGTCAGAGCACACTTCACCACAAAGATGCACTCTTTGTCCAAACTTGTAGCACACAAAACCCCCCTTTGTATATAAGTGTGGCTGTGTTTGCATGTGTGTGTGTGTTTCATCACATACGCAGCAGACAGCCTCGTCTGAGTGTGTATATTGTCTATAGAAGGTGCCAGATGTGGGGTGTTGTGGTTAGCTGCACACAGGCAGTCGTTGTGTGACTTGCCAGGCTAGCATAAACGTCCAGCAGCCTAATTGCTATAATTCCCATGATGAGGTTAATCTTCTAAAAGGCTAGCCCTTCACTCACACTTGGCTGTTGTCGCTCCCTCTGCCCGAGTCGATGCGTCACTGCCATTCATCTGCACACGCTGACAAACATACTTGGTTTCCACTTATGGATTTCATCCCCCCCTGACTTTTAGGTTTAAGCCTTAAAGCTGTGTGATGGGCAAAGGGATCCATGCAAGTCTAGATATTCAGGTGGTGGCAATAATTGCTTTAAATGAAAAGACAATTACTCCTGGAGCCGTGTGTAATTAAGTCCTTAAACTGGTCCAGGAGTCATGTTTGTTTTTCTTTGCTTAGTGCGCCTACCTCTCTCTCTCTCTCTCTCTCTCTCTCTCTCTCTCTCTCTCTCTCTCTCTCGCTCTCTCTCTCTCTCTCTCTCTCTCTCTCTCTCTCTCTCTCAGTGTTGTAGATGAGAGCCACACGCCCACGTTTGCACACACATGTTGTTTGGCTTTCTGAATGAGCTCATTGTTGTTGTGGTCCACTCCACGTGCTGTCGAGCAGCATGGTCCACCCCCTCTTGTTGTCGGACTGATTGTTTACATGAAGACTAACTTTATGCCCCCTCCCCACCCTCGCTTCTTCCCTTACACTTGTGTTCTGGTTTTCATCCTTTTGCATTGTTTTCTTCCTCCTTTTCTTTCTTTCTCTCTATCTTTTCACCCGACCTCTCATTATTCTCCACCACCCCCTTATTTCCACCAATGCTGTCGCTTCTTTTCTACATTTTTTTCCCCACTTTCTCTCTCTCTCTCTCTCTCTCTCTCTCTCTCTCTCTCTCTCTCTCTCTCTCTGTATGTTCTTTGTGCCCTGCAGCCAGCGAGAGCGTGTTACTGCAGCAGCTCTTCCAGTCCAAGCTGACTCAGACTGGTTCTCTGGTGCCAGCAGCCCAGAGCCGTGCTGGATTGAGAGGGCTTAAAGCGGCCTTGTTGCTCCACAGGATGCCATCAGCATCCCTTGTCACCACCAACACTGTCCCCCAACAGCCACGGAGATATCATGACCTTACCAAGGTACAGCACAGAACACTGTCATTAAGCAGTGAGTGCATGAACCAAACATGCTGTCTAATTTAGCTAACCATCAAAGACCATGTTCATTTTCTGCCTATTAAATATTTTGTAATTTTTTATAGACATTGTGATTCTCTTTTTAACTTTTAAAACTTACGATGTTACGATAACATATTAACACTGATAAGCTGAAGGAACCAATCAGAAGCTGTTTGTTTCAACTTCCTTTTGTGGAGATCAATGGAAGAACAGAGATAGTATTTTTGGAAAGAACAACTTCCCACCATAAGGCTATTTATAAACCTCTGGGAATTGGATTTGTGTAAGATGGAAACTGTGAGCATTCTTACACATGCACAAATTTTCTTCTTTTTTTTTTTGTTTATGCCAATTTGCCCGTTAACATCCCAGAATTCTTGCAATCTATGTAAAATTTACTTTACATGCTTTTGCTTTGAATAGCAATAAATGCATAAAACAAAAACAATTATCATCCGAGTGTTAAATGTCTTAAAAGTCATCTCACTGTGTGTAGCGCAGGTCTGACACACAAGTGCGACTCACTCTTGCGAATCCAATTGCTCGTTGCACAATGTGCAGCAAGCTTCAAGACTTCCGGAGAGAAAGTAATCAAAACATGCAACCACACAATTTTCTGCCATTATGAAAAAACAGACCAAGTTTCTTGTTTTTAGGAAATAAATAAGTCAGCAGACGAGGTTATGCGCACCACAAGTAGACAGCAAAAAAAAACCTTAGGACCTGATTCACTAAGAATGGATTTCAGCCACAAATAGCTCCAATGAGTCATTGGCTCCTGCTATCTGCCCGACTGAAGGTCTAATGCAAACATGCCCAAAAAGCTGTCCTGCTCTTGTTTTGTGTTTGAATGTGGAGAGAAGCTAGCTGCACCTTTAGTCTGCACAGAGCTGCACTCTCATCCTGACGAAGATGTTTTTGGCCGCATTAAGATGATGAAACAGGACACTGCATGGAGAGACTGACCTTCTCATTAAGGCTAAAGTTTGACCAATATATAAAAGTCTGGAAGAAATGGAATATGTACTGTTCGGAATGTAACTCATCTTAAATGAAAAACCCTGATTTGTGTATTTTGACTAATGCATGGCCCAGGTTACCTTTCATTTATTATTCTCTTCTTTTCTTTTGTCTTGTTTTACTCTGAAAATATAAATTTAAAAAAAGTATCAAAAAAAGATGTTGAAACAGGAGAGGGAAACTTTTTCAAGGTTTATTTGGATACCAGACTTAAAAATTTAAAAATGAGCATCAACGTAAAAAAAAAAAGCTTTCTGTCTAAATGGAGAAAATAAGAGCAACTCCGTTAAAAAAAAACGTACATCCTCATTCGTTAAATCTTTGAATGCACATCTTTTCGCACATTATCTTGTACTTTTTAAATATATTTTTTATAATAATATTTGTATTTTTAAATCTTTTTATACTTAGCTTGCACCATGGTTCAGAGAGAAATGTTTATTTTTTATTTTTCTGTAAGTCCAGCACATGTTTGAAAAATTGACAATAAAGATGACTTTGGGGGCGCGCTGGTGGCGCAACGGTTAGGGCGCGCGTCCCATGTGTTGAGACTCTCGTCTCAAGCGATAGGCCCGGGTTCGCTTCCACCCGTGGCCCCTTTCCACATGTCATTCCCGTTCTCTCTCCCTGGTTTCCGACTCTATCCACTGTCCTCCCTCTGCATTAAAGGCACGAAAAGCCCAAAATAAATCTTTAAAAAAATAAAATAAAATAAAAAAGGTGACTTTGACTTGTGGATAAAGTGTCGAGGCACTGACCGTCCACGTCTGATTTACCCCTGATTATATCAATAATAGTTATGTCAAAGTAATATATGACAGACTTTTTAAACAGACAATTTATTTGAAGTCATACAGAGGCAGAAATGTTGACCTGATCGCTGGAAAAGTTTGAGTGTTGCATCTCTTATAAATACAGCAGAGTAGTTACCTCCTGGTCTCAACAGACTCAAACGGCGTGTGGCTGTTAGCACCAACATTTGTGAGTTAGAAGCTCTTCTACATTGAGCCTGATTTGCATAGAAAGTGGCCAGTTTTTCCCCCAATGATCGTGTAATGGCTCAATTAAATACGCTAAACAAGCATTGGTGCACAGAGACACAGTTTGCTCTGCGGCGCTATTAGGGGTGCATTTAACATTTTTACATTGGAGGCAAAACCAGGTGGTTGTATTGTTGTATATAAGATTATATTGAAGTTCTCTTTGCAAAGCATTTTTTTTGGAAACACAAATTTGTGATTCCCACAGAATGACGTGTGCCTGTGCAGACCAGTGGTGAGGGGTGTGTGTTTGGATTTAGAGTATTTTTTAGAAACAGTCCTACATTAAACCTTTTTTTAATTATTTGATTATTTGGCCTGCTGAACATTTTGACCATCGATATTTTTATCTGCCGTAAAACTGCACGTGATACCGACCAAAAGCTTGTAGTGTTTATATATATTTTATATTTGTTTCCAGGTTTCTTAAAGCATACTGTACTGGTGCACATGTGTGACTAAAAACACTCACTGGTTGTGTAACCTTGAGGTTTCTGCCTGATGTCTCTGTAGCTCATTAGCCATCTAGAAAGCAAGCTTACATAAGACCACTTTCACCTCCCCAATGTGTCCCAGCAGCCTTTTACTGTAACATTAAGTCATGTTGTAGCACCACAGTGAGCGCAGGACCATAAATACAATAATAAATGAAATGGGTCAAGCTCAGCTGTAGAGAAACAGAATAACTAGGACTGACAGAGAAGTAGTCTATTGGGACTGCAATCATCCTACACAGCATCAAAGACTAACTGATGTTCATGCTTCATGAATATATACTTAGAGATAACCAATTCTATTTAATGTTGTATTATTATTTGTGAAAATGATGTTTCTATGAATCCATATTTGTGCAGTTATCTCGCTTTTTTCAATGTTTTATTCATAATCTCTTTCCATGATCAGATCTCGAAGAAGAAAGGCTCGGGCTCCTTCCTCCAACGGTTAGAGCGCTGTGGGCCCATTACAGCTGCTGTCCAGCTGAGAGTAAGAACATTTCCTCTCCATTCACAAGACATGTTGTAGTAGCTGCAAACTAGTGTCAGGTCTATTTCTGTAGAGGGTCTGTGGGTCAAAGTCTGTGATCCATTTAATGAGCATGTTGAGCAAGAGGGTCTGAACGTGTCAGCTGGAAGATGCTCTCTTTTTCACTGCATGGATTTCCTCCCACACTAGTTCGCTCAAGCAGTCCAATGGTGTGAAGGAGGAAGTGCAGGTTTGACTTAAGGTAGCTCAGAAGTGTGAATTATCCAGTACACAGTGAAACCTGCCTTTTGCCCCAGTGCATGCTGGGGTGGGAATTCAGCTCCTTAAGAACTTATGCTCAATAAGCAGTTTCCAAAAAAACTGATTTTACTGTGAATTAAAAACTGACCCCATTCTGTATATGGGTAAGTAAAACTTAAATTTAACTCTTAACTTTTGCAGAGGGGGCGCGGTCACACTGGCCATCTGTACCGTGCCATACTCAAGCACAGTTGGCCCGCAGCTGCGCCATTCCCACGCTGGCGTGGTCACACTACACAGGACTATTCTAGAGAGAGAGAGAGAGAGAGAGAGAGAGAGGCGCAGTCGAGTCCGCGTCTGCACATCGGAGAACAACACTGCACATCTTCTGCCCACCGTCCTCAAAATTATTAAAACTATTCTCCACTATGCACAAAACCTATTCAGCTCTAAGAACTATTCAGAGAAGAATTGTGTGACTGATTTCATAACTATATAAAGTAACATTTAATATTCAGTTAGAGAAAAGCAGTTTGCCGTTTGCTGGTGACGCAAGGAGGATGAAATGTTGCCCTGAGAAGCAGCACCTTTGGTCTGAATGAATCCAGTGTGTTGCACAAATCAGAGTTGTGGGTTTGTGGTCGACGAGTCCCCTCAGGGAATGGCAGAGAAGGAGAGAGTGGGCTGAAGAATGGTGCTGCACCAAGCCAAGCATGAAGCCCTCCACATGAGTGAATGAACAATGAACAACAACCACTGTGTGCCCCATGTGCACTCATTTGTATGTGTGAATCCTTCCCAGTGACGCTCGTAGAAGAGGGATGAGATGGTGAGCATTGTGACTGAAGGTATGCGGAGGAAAAAAACCACGTCAGTTAGAAGTTTTGCAAAAACGCAGATTGCAAAGTGTTTACGTGCATCTGGATCTGTGTGTGACTGTGTGACCTTTTGATGCAGCATCAATGAATTCAAGGCTTGAAGAAAAGCTGTCTCGTACTGGCACAACCCGAGAGAGAGTAAAGAACTCTTTGTGCTGTTGTTTCCTCCAGAGAGGCAAAAACACCCCCCAAAAAATCTCAGTCAAGTGATTGCGGCCTGCAGATCTGGTTAAAACATCAAAAAGGAAGAAGACATAGCGCTCATCCTTCTTAGCTTCAGTACTTACTGCACAGTAACCTGAACTACTAAAAACACATTATTCATCAGAACATGTTGCTTATCTTTATCTCCTTTGTTTTCACCTCCTTTCAGAACTCGCTGTCAGAGCTGATCAGTAAGCTGCAGGCATGCACGCCTCACTTTGTGGAGTGCGTGCGCCCAAACGCCAGCGGTCAACCAGACAGTTTCGACAGCTTCCATGTGTCCACCCAGCTGCAATACATCGGGGTGCTAGAGATGGTGCGCATGATCCGTTATGGATACCCCGTGCGCCTGTCCTTCCCAGGCTTCCTCAGCAGGTCGGTGGTCGGTCATGTTGCATTATTAAGAGCACTGCAACTGTCAAAAACTTGTTCTCTGATGTTTTCTGTCTCTGTGTGCTGATTCATTAACTCCACATTAGCTTCTTCTCTAAAGGAAAAGGGTCTTACAGATGATTGATTGCACTTTTTGTTTCTCTCAGTCCTGCAGACATGTTGAGCTCCCAGCAGGTCACTGCGATCTCTCTCAGTTTAATATATGACAAGGCCCCCGCAGGTCACAGTTAAAAGCTTTACAGCAAATGCCTTCTCTACATCTGCAAATTGAATGTAAGTGTATATACTGCACAGGATCAGCCGCTCACATTGCAGACTGAAACATTAACAAGGACGAGTCATAGCAACCCTCACTGTTAAAAAGCACAAACTGACCCTGAATGGCTTTTTAAGAGTGTGATTAGAGTCTGCTGCAAGTGATGAATACTGCTATCATATATCCCATGTCAGCCTGACACACACACATCAACCAGTGTGTCAGGTCTCCTTGTACCACACTTGGAATGCTCGTAAGGTTTTTTTTTTCTGTAACTTGTAGAAAAGCAGAGCAAGAACAGTGTTTCTGCCACATCACCTCTCTTTTATGTCTCTGTCCTCATGTTCTATCTCTCTAGGTTTGGCTGTTTGTCTCAATCCTTCTTTTGCTGTTTCTTTGATTCTAAGAACCAGTACTGAGAGGATTTATCTCTAAGTCTGTCTTTCTCTCTTTCTCTCTCATCCTCAGTCAGTCTCCTGGCCTCCTCTCTCTCTCTCTTTCTCTCTCTCCCTCTCTTTCTCTGTCTCTTTCTCCCTCTCTCTCTCTGTCTCTCTCTCTGTCTCTCTCTCTCTCTCACTCCTCCCACTATTTCTCTCTCCATTTTCTTTTTGAGGATAAAGGGATTAACATGTACATTCCTGCCAGATAATAAGAGAGGACAAAGCTGGTCACATGACCTCCCCAAAAGTTTCCACTACCCCGCTGTAAACATCATCACATCACAACACACACACACACACACACACACACACACAAACACACACACACACACACACACACACACACACACACACACACACACACACACACACACACTGACTCGCACACTCTGAAGGTGTTCTCCCCCCAACTTTTAATCAGGAGAAAATACAGAGAATCAAAATTTGTTTTAATTGTTACCTTCTATCACTGTCTCAATGAAGCTCTCATAAATCTCTGGCTAACACTCTTATTTTGAAAAATTCTATTGAACTGTCAACCAACACTGAACCAGAAAAGGGCAACATAAAACAGAAGCTACCCAGGCTGTAGGTTATTCTGCACATGTTTTAAGGTATGCTACATTTATTGAAGGCACCGCACTCTGACACGCCATATTTTCTGGTTCCAATAAACCCCCAATGAAAAAAGATAAGTGAAACTGAGATAATGCGTTTTCACGAGGAGAAAACCCTGAACATGAAATTGAATCAGGAGCACCAGGCCCGTGTCATGGTGAAATCCAATATAGATCAGAGTATTGTCGTACCATAAGCTGCCATGGCTCCTTTTGTGTTTTTGATGGATAAACCTTGGAAAGCTGATGCTCACTTTGTTCAAGAGCTTCTGATTAGAGCTTCTTTGAATTATTCCTCCAGCATAGATGGAAGTCTATGGAGTAAAACTGGAGGACATCTATTATAAAACTGGATGTTTGACAGTAAAGTGGTTGCAAGCTTTCTGCTGACTACTTCCTACTTCTTCCCCAGTCTCTGTAAACTATAGCGTTGAGACAGGTTACCAGGGCAGGCAAGGTGAGCCTTAAGCTTCTTGTTCTACTTAAATAACAGCTGTTGAATGTAAAGACGGTTCAAACTGAGACACAATTTATGTCAAGACGAAAGAAAAATCTAAATCAGCAGAAATCCAACAAGAGCTTAGAAAATGACCTAATGTCTTAAGTCGACTGTCATGCAAATTTTTAACCTGGTAACCTTCTTCTGTGAATCCATACAATCAGATTAGTGGTGCATACGATTTCCTTTGGAGCTCTTATTGGTCAGAATAAAATTGGATAGGTCTTTGGATGAAAGCCTGCCCCCACAGTTGAGTCTGATAGCTTGCTAAATCCTTTGCACTGTTAGCTTCCTGTTTCCTGCTTCTAACATTGTATGTGACTAAGACTTTAGTCCAATCTGCATGGGGATCTCCCACATCTAAGGGGATTACTGGGGAACGACACTAGCCCAGTTTCTGAAGGTAGAGTTGTGAATTCAACTCCCATCTTGTCTGTCAGGGAGTTTAATCTGCCTCTACATTCAGAGGAGAAATGTTCAAGCTTCAGATTCTCCAGATGTTCAATAGAAGCCAGCTCATTTATCTTGCCTGTAATTCATGGTTACATTACATAGAAGGAAAGGCAGCGCTCCAGCTACTCAATTGCATTCATATGATATCTGGGTGTTTTCTAAGCACCTGTACAGTTGTAAAGAGTCAACTAGCTGGTAAGTTCACCACAGATCTGCTGCAAAGACCCAGACTGGGGCTGGCCTCACTTTCATCCTCTCGTTGTTACATTTGGATGACAGAGTTTCCAGAGATATACATGCAGTAGTTGTCAATTGAATACTTGATACTGCAGCGTAGTGGGCTTTAATTTGGAGTTATCAGAAAGCTCTTATCTCCACAAAGTCTTGTTTTTTTGCTTTTGTTTGTTTGAAAGAGCTGGGTCTTTAGGTTTTTCTTAAAGGTGCAAAGGGACTCTGATTTATTATAGAGTGCCTATCTAGCTATCTATGTTGTGTCCTGAACTTTAAAAAGAAAGTTAGACTAATTGCATTGAAAAGCAGACAACAGTTTTGAGGTAAATACAGACCATCAATAGATTTCCATCTTGCCAATTTTAAACTTTGCGGAGGGCTGATTTCCAGTCCCTTCATCAAGCAAACACGGCCTAGTCCTTATTCCAACTTAATCCTTGTAACTGCTTAGAAACTGAAATATAATTACATAATTTTAAAATAATGACTAAATAAGAATGAAGTTATATTGTACTCAGTATGTGTTACACTCCACAGCTGACTGTGTACATTGTGTGTGTTCTTGTTATCTTCTGTTCCTACAAATGGACATTTTGAGTGTGCATTTGTGTGACATGTGTCTCTGGTCTGTTGGTTATACATTAAGGCTATGGTTCGTTAAAGTGGCTGTTGCTCACAAAGACACCAGTCAGCTCAGCACGAGTGCCATTCATACATCTCTCCCTCTCTCTCCGCCATCGGGTTCAACACAGACACAGCCAATGAATGAACACAGCCTTGGCTAAGACGGGAGCTGCTGCAGGGTCTGGGTTGGTTTACACTGCTGCATCACAGAGCTCTTTTCAAACGATTTCTCATTCTTCCCCCTGCATGTTCTCTGTTCTGAAAAATGGTTTTCTGTTTTCCTTCGTCTCAAGGCTTCTTTTCTTCTTCCCACTCCAAACATTTTTTTCTCAATTTATATCTTCTTTCAGCCAATTCATTGCAATGTTATCTTTCCACTTGTTCTGTCTGTTTCTCTGATGTGCACACAGAATATCTCAATCCCGTCCTGTTTTGTATTCCTTTTGCTCTTTCCTTTTGTTATGTTTTCAAAACAAACCCTGGTCCCTGGCTAATCAAATTGACAGGCCTATAAATCAGCCCATTAATCTTGAGGTTCCTATATTCTCTTGAACGCAAACACACATGCAGGTTAAGTCATAGTGGTCGCCTGAAGCAAATTACATGAGTGTCCTGGTAACCCGAGTGATTTATGAGGAAATCTATTTTACTGTTGCTTTTATTTGTCTTTTATGATACCCTTTGTGTTTTGTGGGGAGGTTTATTTTTCTGCCAAAGAGTAAGGTCAAATGTTACCATTTGATCCTTGATTGTGTAAATCTCTGCCGTCCATGTGTGTTGTTGTTTCTCAGTTCTTCAATGTAACAAATGGGATGAGAAAGAGATATCAGTATTCATGGAGAATGTCACAAATGCAGCTCAAAAGCATATGGGTAATTTCTTCAATTTGGCCAGTTCCACTTGGGGATCTCTCACTGATGTATTCACACACACATTTGTCGGATACTGACTCACCTACAGGAAAATATACATCATCTTGGCTGACCACTAGAATGAAAAACCCATGACTTAAAGTCTTTCTATGTGATTTTTCACACTTAAATGTAGAAATCAAGTATATCCTCTGAAAATAACTCTGTGAGTCATGACTGTCTACAATGGGTGTAACACCCGAGTCCCACTGTCTGTGATGTTTTCAGAGTTTTCAGAGTCCTATCTTCACTTTGTTTACATCGCCCGGCCGGTTGACTCCTCCCCTCGTGTATAAAAGTTGTTTAATTGAGGGACTAGAGAAAAGAAGAATAACATACTGTACTCACTGCTTAACTGTGTTTCTAGATCACGCTCATTTCAGGTAAATTTACATGCAGTGTGAAGATACCAGCAGAATAAAGATCGCTAGCATTAGCATGCTAACACAACAATGCAGCGCCAGTTGTTTTGGTTTCATGCTGGTGCTCAAGGGCGACATCTGCTGGATCAAAAAAACGCTTATAAAGCCTTTAATAGAAGCTAATAATGTGCTTGGAGGATGTGGCAAATAGAAGTTAAAAGTTGATGGATTTGAGCAGCTTGGATCAGGAAGTGTGTTGTTTAAATAACAGCTGTTAACCGCCTCTGTGATGCTCAATAACGGTAGTAACTGATGTCCCTTTGATCACAGGGAGCCACATAAGCGTCCTGCAGCCTTCCATTTACACTCTTATCAAAAGCCTTATTTCACTTCTTTAAGTCCACATGAAGCCCCCTTGGGTCTTGTTAAAGACCAGGGCCATCGATGGTTTTCATATCCTCATAGGAGAGGTCATGGGTTTACAGAGTTCCTTTGTGTTTTATGGGCCCAGTGGGAGAGCGTGTGGTGTCTGCAGGACTGGTGTTTCCATACACAGGGAGGGTTAGGGAGAGTTCAGACGGACCCCTCTACTGCAAATCAAACATATCCTATGTTCACATGCCCTCACTTACTTACCATTGACAACACAAGTGGTTTATGCCTCGGGCCATCTGCTTGTTATATCTTCTTCATTAGATGTGACATCATCAGCTGGCCCATGATTGATAAGAAGACACAACAGCGTCTGAAAAAAAATGTAAAAATGTAAAAAAATGTACTTATAGCAAGAGAGGATTCAGTTTATTGTTTAATGTTTTTATCTACTCTTGAAATTTCAGTATGATAGAGGGATAAATAATTTAAATTTACACTTCAGGGACATTCTAAAATACACACATGAAGAAAAAGGACTTTTGGACATGCATTAATGGAGAGATGTAAGAGCTGGGCTGCTCACAAGGAGCGCTGCTGAGCTTTTGGAGGTTCCCTGCCTTGCTCCAGGGTACCTCTGCATCACTCAGGAAGTGACATGGCACCTCTCCAGCAACCAGACCAATTTCCAGGACTTGAACCAGCGACCCTCCAGTTCCCAATCCAAGTCCCTCCAGACTGAGCTTCTGCCACCCTTGTTCACCAGCTTTATGATTTATGAGTCAGATATTTCTACATTTACATTTTATATATCTGAGCAATTCACCATTAAAAAAAAATATATATATATATATATAATGTAATATGCAACAGTAGGAAAAGCACACATGCTTTTTGAAAGATGCCTAATGTATTTACCTAGTACCTTTTAAGTCCATTTTACTATTATAGTATCAGACTCATTCTAGTTTCTGCAGGGTCTTTTTTATGTGATGTCTTGACTGCTGAGCTCTCTCCTCCTCTCTAACAGGAAATATTTACTCTGTGAGGAACGTGCAAATTAACAACTCAGGAAGATTTCAGGGGCAGGCTGTCCTGAAATATTTTGAAATTTGTAGGCATGCATGTATGAAAATATCTATGAAGTCCTCCTTTAATCATATCTACATCTCTAGAACACAATCTGCACTTGTGTATTTATGTTGGGTTTATGTGTTTTTTCTATCATTGAATTCTGTGTCAACATTTTCTTGCTCACTTTCCCTTTCAGCCCCCCCCCCCCCCATCCCCCGTTCTCTCAGGCACAAACAAACCACTGTCTTCATCCAGCTGACCATTCATAGAAACGGTTGCCCAGGGCAACACCAATAGGAACAGATGCTGTTTGGCTCGGCTGCCATATGACCCCCACTGACCTTTGCACCCATTGTTTATGAAACGAGAGGGTTTCACTCAGACTCGTTCAAATTTTGAAGCTCAGCAGTTAAAAAGATCTTTTGTCCCTGCAGGTCTGATAGTTTTTTTTTTTTCATTTGTGTGTCTCAGGTATAAAGATCTTGTGATCCCAACTTTGGGAGATAAGAAGAAACTGTCGGCTGAGGAGAGATGTCGCTCAGTTCTGCAGCAGTCCAAACTCCAGGGATGGCAGGTGTGTGTGTGTGCGTTTGTGTGTGTGTATTACTATGTCTTGCCTCTTTTTCTGTCTTCATCAATAACAAAAGATTTTCCAAATGACTTAATCCCTGACCCTCGATTTTAAAGATCCCATGGAATCTTGACAACTAGTTCCAGCTGTCTCACCTCATCATCATTCATCTCACACACAGACACACACAAACAGCAGCAGCATGGACCCCTCTGCCCCCCCCCCTCTATGATCTGTCTGCCAGACTGCTGTTGTGTCTGAGTGTGTGACCCTACAGGTCACATCAGCTGCCGCCTTGCACACGCACACACACTCCTCCACAATGCCCAACAGACACCTTTTTCACGCACACACACAAGTCCTACAAGTAGCATGTGTTGGAATGAATAGTGCCTGTGGAAGTATGTCACCCCCACTGTTCTTTGCACCTGGTATAAAGTGACCTCTGTGGACCCCTCCCTAATACCTTTAAGCCCAGGAAATGAATGCATTGTCTACATGCAAACCCCATACCCTGCCCACACTCTACACCCACATCTATCATATATCTCCCATCCCTAAACCAGCAAGTCACACTCCTCTGAGACTTCCAAGCAAAGACAGCATCACCGGGTCTGCTGGTTCGCTCCTAGGAGAAAATGATAGCACCACTTCAGTGTAATCCAATCCAATGATGTGGCTGTGTTTGTAGATGGGCAGCAGTAAAGTGTTTCTGAGGTACTGGCAGGCCGACCAGCTTAACGACCGCTGCTACCAGCTCCATAAAAAGATCATCACCTGTCAGAAAGGTAACGTCGAAACAACACAATAAATCATGTTTTTTATGTTGCAGAAATGTTGCTATCTCCCTCTCCTCCTATTTCTCATATCCCTTTCTTTTTCATCTCAGTGGTGCGTGGCTGGTTGGCCAGACGGCGCGTACAACGCAGGTTGTTGCAGCGGCAGAAGGAGGAGGAGTGCAGTGTGCAGCGTTTCCTGCAGGGGGCAGAGGACATGGGGCTGCGGACCTATGACCAGCTGGTCATCCAAAACGCTTCTGACATCGCGCGGGAGAGCGATCGCCTGCGCTGCCATGGCAACGGCCTCCTCAACACCATTTGTACCAGCCCACCGCTTGGTGAGAGGCCCGAGCCGGTGGGCAAGGAAGAGGATCAACCTGTCAGGAGGTAAATCAGCAAACACCTTCACAACTCTCACAGCTTCATTCAAATCTGAATCAAAGCTAAATATTAGCACTGTGGATGTGCAGGTATTCTTTTTTTTTTTCATTTCTCCATTGTGTCCTCATGTTGTTTTGTTCCTGCCTTTATCAATGCAATTCATAGCTTTCAGTCTCGTGACCATTGGCTACCACTGAACATTGAAACACTGCAGCACAGGCTTTTTAATTTACCATGTTCCATTAATGACACGTTTACATCACCTGACAACTGGTGAATTTTAGCCTAATGCGCCCTGTGGTTGTCAGATGTTATGTGTCCGAACGAATGCCTCTTTGTCTAGCTTTCATTAAAACATATCTAATAAGAATATTTACAAATAATAATAATGAGGTTAGGACACTTTCAGTCACTTCTGTCTGAAAGTCATCATTTAACATGGTCACTCTTTTAACTCTAACACCAGAACGTCACTTCAGTGATGTTTGCTTATAGTTAGAGGAGAATCCCTCTCCTAACACCGCTGTAGGGTGAAAGTCTACAAAAGTACGGACAGTTTTATGTACTTTTGATGTGTCTGGGACTCTGGGTCGATAATGCTGCTGTCATCCAAGTGTCCATGAGTGCTAATTAGCTCATAGTGGCTAGTTAACATGAGCTAATGATAGTATCAGGATCACTGTCAGCTGCCAATTTCAGTGTTCTGGGGAAGTATTGTTAGTTAGGTAGTAATATGATGATCAAGTTAACACAATATTTGATGTCAGCATTAAACCACAAATGTCTGTTTTATTTTTATTTATTTATTTTTATTATTTTTATTTTACAGGGACATTGCATATTAATGAACATTTCGGTAAATATGCAAGAGTTAGCCAAAAGGCTGATTTTCCTATGTCGTCCTTGGCCAGATTTTATAAAAGGCTCACTAAAAAAAACAAATTCAAACATCACTAAAAGCTACAAAAATAGAAATAACATGACGGTTATTAAGCAGACAGGTGAGCAGCCACAGGAGAAAATACATAAACCATGCAGGATACACATAAAGCAGAATTTGGTTAATATAAAAAATGTATCTCATGCAGGACAGACGTGGAGCAGCAGACATGACAATGTACCAAAAAACAAAAAAGTCTATCACATTCAATAACAACAGTCTTTCATATGAAAAATAGAAAACTAAAACTGATAAAAACACGTAGTTGTCAACTGAGACAGATAAGTTCTCCGTCTCTGTAGAGACCCTTTCTTACCCGCTGGGTGGGCGGTACCATAAGCGCGTGATGTCATCTGATGTACTGATCAGTAGTTTAACTTTTGTTTCCATGATTTGCCTCCACAATGCTACTGATGACTTCACACCATTGTAACCAGATCTGACTATTTATTGCTTTTAAGAGCTTGTGTGTATTGTGCACATATTTGTGTTGTACTTTTAAAAAAGGTGAATGCTTCATAGTGACTGCAGGATTGTTAAGCTTGGAACATAAACAATCTGCAGTTGCTGTCATTCACAGGACTAAAAGGAGGAATCCTTTGCCTTGATGAATGTGTGTTGTGTGTGTGTGTGTGTGTGTGTGTGTGTGTGTGTGTGTGTGTGTGTGTGTGTGTGTGTGTGTTTTGTGTGTCTGTGTTGTTGTTCTTTTGATTAATGATGTTATTGTATCCCTTAACGCTGCAGGCTTTTAATTGTTACTTTTCATGATGGATCGTCAGATAATGAGCGATGTTATCAGATTGTATTAGTATTGTGTTTGCTCCTATGGAACGCTATCCTTATCTCCACATCCCCTCGTTCTAATGTAACATGTGACACCTGGAGAATGTTTAATTTCCCCCGAGGGCTGAGTTAGAAACGGTTAAAAAGAGTAATAAGAAGCTCATTAGAGGAGATGCAAAATTAACATCCCTCATTTTGAAATGTCACTTTCATAATCAAAAAAAAAAAAAGAATATGAATCTTATAGATTCCTGAATCTTGAATCTTGAAAATGATCCATACATTTAGCACAAATAAACCTTAAAATGTAAACATATGATGTATTTTCTGCTTCCTATGATGCCATGTGTCATAAATGCATGAATCAATTCAAAAGCATACTTTTTGGAAGCATTTTCCTGTGTTCAATTTGTATTGTGACAAAATACAAATTAAACTTTCAAACTCTTACTCAAAAATGAACCAGTTTTCACTATTCAAAAATGTTAACCATTAAAGAGAATGAAAGTTTAATTAAATGTAGTTGGAATTCTTTGATAAGCAATGACCACCACACTGCATTGATAGCAACCAACATTTTTAACATTTTTCAATTAAAAAAATGTAAGGTTTCTTTGTGTCAGTGGGAAAGGAGCCACAGGTCGTATTCGAGCCACAGGCCGCCTGCTTGGAGGATCACAGCCTCCGTACATGGAGTGCACGCTCTAACCACTAGCCTAGCGCCCCTTTCAATAAATTTCATTTATAAAATGGGATGTTAACATTAGTATCAAGGCATACATTCTGAAATATGAATCATACATGGTTTCTGTATCCTCTATGTGTCCTTCTGCATGTAACATCTGCTACTGGGACACAAGCACAGGGGGGGCTTTAAACCACAGGAGTAGGGATGTCAGTAGACGCAGTGGGAGAAGAGCCGTGGTCACCGTGTTGTAGAGGGGATTAAAAGGCAAATACACACCTCTGCATCCTTAACAAAATCACACTAACGTGCAAACCATCATCCTAATTTCCATGCAGATTTGTTTTTTTTTTTTGTCCCCCCTCACCAGCACACACACTCAGCCATGGGGGGGGGGGAGCAGATGGCTCAGGCAGATTAGTGAAGGAAATATCAAACTGGATGTTATCAAATTACTGCAAGGAGATTAGATTTAAAGCATAATCTCTTTGGTCTTTATCCTTCAATTGGCCTCCTTAGCTCACATTTGTGGCATGACAGCTGAAGCAGGCATACATTGAATCTGAGTATGCTGATGATATAAATGATCCAATTAAGTCAATCTGGATCAGAGAACTATTGGATGGGGAACAGTTGGGCTTGTAAGCTTTTAGACTTCTTCTTTTTTTCCTTTTTTTTTTTTTTTTTTTATAAAATATGTGAATCAAGTAATACAAAGGTTCAAAAATGCTCCATTCTTTTTCTTTCTTGCTTTTTTCAGAATCAGAATCAGAAATACTTTATTAATCCCCAGAGGGAAATTCGATCGTTACAGTTGCTCCAAAATAAACAATATAGCAGTAGAAATATAGTAATAAAAATATGAATCAAATAGAATAGGAATGTAAGTAAGATATCAATAATTTGATGTGATAAATTTAAAAACAAACGACAACTTCAAAGAAAAGAAAAAAAAGCAGTCAAAACACACAGAATTTTTTACATATATATTTTATTTATTTTATTTTATTTTATTTTATTTTATTTTGTTTTATTTTTTTTATTTTATTTTTTTTATTTTATTTTATTTATTTGTTTTTGTGCTATTTCTTTCTTCTGTACTGTGCCAAAAAATTAATAAAAAAAATTATAATTTGATATCAATAAGAATTTAAAGTAAGTTCTATTTTTGTTCTAATCCGCAGAGTTCTGGAGAAAAGTTGGAAAGCCTACGAGAGTCCTGTCAACGGGGGCAGTCGGGTTATTCGGCACTTTCGCTCTAGCTCAGTACCCACCCCGCTCGCCATGGAGAACATGGTCCTGTCTTCTGCCGGTCCGTCTGTCAAACCAGCCCTGCAGCAGTTAGCTCACACCAACGAAGACGGTACAGTAGGGGGAAGTCTTTCCTCCCCTCGGAAGCAGCCTCCTCCCAAACCAAAGAGGGATCCCAACACTCGTCTGAGCGCGTCCTATGAAGCAGTCAGTGCCGGGTTAGTGATGGCAGCTAAAGAGTGCCCCACTCCAGAGGGGTACGGGTCACCAGCTGGAAGCCCTCCTAAGTCCCAGCTGTCCCCCACAGACCCAGCAGGTAAATCACCTCTACTGCTCTTTGGAAAATACAACAGATGGTGTTTTTTCTCTTTTTTTAACTGATGAACATATGTTTGATTTTTAACTTCTTGTTATTTTTGGGGCGGCAGTAGCTCAGTCTGTAGGGACTTGGGTTGAGAATCGGAGGGTCACCAGTTCAAGTCCCAGTGTGGACCAAGTCCAGAAATTGGTCTGGTAGCTGGAGAGGTGCTAGTCCACTTCCTGAGCACTGCCGAGATGCCCTTGAGCAAGGCACCGAACCCCAAAAACTGCTCTGAAGCGCCCACTGTGGGCAGCCCCCTCACTCTGAGACCTCTCCATGAGTACATGTCCATAGGATCCTGTTTGTGCATGTGTGTGTATTTCGGTGTATGTGTGTGTTCATGTTCATTAGACAGAGTGTGAAGTTGGATTTCCCCTCGCGGGATTAATAAAGGATTAATTATTATTATTATTATTATTTTTGATAATTGTATTCCTGTTTCGTGAGCTGTTGTGACAAAAAAATTGTCTGACCTTCAATAAAGTTTATCTTTATCTTTATCTCTAATTCCATCTTCAGCCTTGTCTAAGCCTCGACCCCACAGTGATGACTACACAACTATGAGGAAGGTGCCGCCCCCTAAACCTAAGCGCAGTCCAAACACTAAACTGACGGGCTCGTATGAGGATATCAACGCTGTAGCACCTCAACTCCATCAGCTGCGCCCTGCAGATGTGAAGCTGGCCTTGTTGTCCCGTGCTGGGGGAATGAGCGGTTTTGGTGGTTTGATGCAGAGAGCAGCCTCCATAGATGCCCCACTAGGAGCAGGCCTGAGTCTGTTCCAGGGACACGATGATGAGGATGTGTACATAGAGATGTTGGGCTCTCAGCAGCGGGCTCGGAGCCTCCAGGAGCCCCCCCGATAGCCCCGAGCTCACCGACTCAGAGGCCGTCTACGAGGAGATGAAATACTTCTCTCATGAAGAGGGCGGAGCTCCTGCCACTGTCATTACAAAAGCAGCCAAACTGGAAGCTCTAGGTCTGAGCCTGATGGGTTTGGGGACCTCTCCTCCTCAGAAGGGGGACACCAAACGGGCGGCAGCAGGGGTCACCGCCGCCATGGACACCACTCACTCACAGGGCATGTTCAACAGTGCGGCTCCCAAAACCCCACACGGCAAAGACGGCGGCTGTGACATCCCAGCTCCCTTCCCCAACCTGCTTCCACATCGCCCCCCTCTCCTGGTGTTCCCCCCCTCCCCCGTCACCTGCTCCCCTGCTTCGGATGAATCCCCCCTCACCCCCTTGGAGGTGAAGAAGCTGCCCGTGTTTGAAACAAACTTGAATTACGCCACCGGCCCCGACAGCCCCCTGTCCCCGCAGTACTCTCGCCAGAGGGCTGACTCCTCCCCTAGCCTCACCGTCCTCATGCCAGAGAAGAAGTCCACACCTCCCCTCACACCTCCACCTCCGCCTCCTCCCCAAAACAATCCACCTCCCCCTTACAGACCCCCATCGCACTTCCCCTTCCCACCTGAGGCCAACTTCCTGGCTCTTACTCGAGCAGCGTCTGTCACAGGAAGCTCGGACGCCCCCAAAACCTCCTCCTTGCAAAGGGCAGGTGGGGAGCCGCTGGGGAAGCCCCCTCCCTACTCCCCAGTGAAGGTGTCTCGCCCTGAGCCTCGGAGAGCCCACTCGTGCTCCTCCTCTCCCCTGCTGTTCAACCCGGCTAACGGCAGACCCCTGACCAGCCCCCCTGGATGAGCTCAACACCCTCTTCAGCTCTGGACGGAGCCTACTGAGGAAGTCCACATCTGGACGCAAGATGAGGGATGGAGGTCTGTCAGTATTACTCATACTACACACAAAACAACACATGGGTACACTCATCACTAGCAGAGAGAAGATCTAACATCAATGATTCCTTTTTATCTTCCTTTCTAAAATAAATGTTCTTAAATGCATCTTCATTAATGGGTTAATGGTTCATTTGCAGTTTGGGTCGTTTCTGAATTAGCTGAACCTTAACTATGTGACCTGTTGGTGGGCATATGTGTAATGGATAGGGATTTAAGAGTTGTCATTTTTCACACTTTTCAAGCACGAGTTTGTATTTATGTGTGTGTATGTAAGTGGACCCATACGTGCAGGACAGAGCATGTGTGCATTATGTGTTCTATCTACTGTGAAGAGTTCATGTTCAGAGTCTCAGTCTTTCTGTTCCACGTGAGTTATAGGATACTCTGTGATTACCTTCTGTACAACGGGAGTAGTAGTTTTAGGGTTCAATCAATCAATGTAGTGTAAGTGTTATCTGGAGACGCTTTACATAAAGCAGGTAAAAATTCCATGCTCATTGTTATGTTACAAAAAGCAGGTAGTAAAAGACCTTACTTATTGTTATGTTACAAAGACCCGGTCTATCCATCATGAGCACTTTAGCAAAGCAGCAAAAGTTACAGTGATAAGAAAAAACTTTCTTATTAAAAGGCAGAAATCTTCAGCTGGATCCTCGGCTCATGATGAAACAGCCTTCACAGGCCTAGACTGCGCTGGGCTTGGAAAGGGATAGGGGGAGAGATGGGATAAAATGCAGGAAGAGGGATAGGGAGCAGGGGGGGGGGGGGGGTTGTTCTGGCAGGCCGTCAACCAACTTGAGGAGCCTAAGAGAGCTTACAACCACTCAAACACATGCTCTGTGTTTGAGTGGTAGGTAGGTGAGAAGCACTCAACATTCTTTCTCATGAACCCCCCCTCTCTACATTTAGAAGCTCTTTAAATTGATTCAGTTGCAGACACCTTCTCTGGCCCACTAGAGGCAGCCCATATGTTATAGTCGCCGATGAGTTGCCCTTTGGCTGCTGCAGCTGCCTTCTAACACGTTACCTAATGAGCAAACTAGTGCAGCCCACTTAGCATCACACACGATGGAGTGTATTTTTATTTGTTGTGCTACATGCAGAGCATATACACACACTCTGATGCTGATGCAAAGGTTGACCTTTGCGAAAAGAGGCCAAACATATTTGTCACAAATAGTCAATGAAAAGTGAAGGTCCTAGGGTCAGAGGTTTCAAACTCACAAAGGGATAACTTAGTGGTACTGGTTGTAGTAATAATCATTTATTTCGGTCACAAGAAAAAACAAAAACGTTTTGACTGAAAAGGTGTAGGCTGAAGCTTCATCTTATTACACCTACCTTATTATTTAAGACACGACTAGTTAGGTTACAAAAAATACAAAACATATCAGAACAAAATTTGTTCCAAGAATTTCTTTCAAAACAAAACAAATGAAACAAACAAAAAAACAAAACAGAAGTCACACTAACAAAAAAGAATCAAACCAACCTTTTAGATTTGTTAAACACCATTTTTTTAAACAAAAATTTTAATCTGGAAAGTGAACTACACATTCTTAATTCTACAAGTTAACCCCTTTTACCGAAATACACCTGTTCTTTATGTTTGTCCTTACCTTTGTTTTTTTATAAAACATAACTTGATGGTGCATTTATGAAAAAGAATTCCAGATCTTCTTAGCACAGTTATATTTCAGAAAACGAAGAAGCTGCCTTGTCCCACTGTGTTTTATCTGACTCTCTCTCTTTTCTCCAAGTGTATTAGTTGTGGCCGGGTTAATAATACATGAGCAGGAGGATGATGAGGATGGGCATCAAATATTTAAAAGCTCACTCATGTTCTACTGAAGACAGTGTGACTGCCCGGCAGCAGTAAACAGGACATCCTGAACAATTAGGAAAATGACAACAGAGTGAAAGTATCAGCATTATTGCAAGTGGCTCATATAATTATGGAGCTACTCAGTTTGTGTAACACACAGTTGTGTCATCCTTCTATTATTGTAACAAGTTCAAGGGTCAGGAAGCCGAAGTCCTTATAAGAGACGGTATGAGAGCGAGTGCACACACTGACGCACAAACATAACGCAACGCCTCGCGCTTCGTCAGCACCTGGACCTACGCAGGAAAAAGCGCTGGCGTCATGGAAACAGCGTGTGTGTGTGTGTGTGTGTGTGTGACAGGGGGGAACCTGGAACTGGGGTTCACAACCTCGCTGTTATTTTGAGTGGGCAAAGCCAGGCGGCCTGTTAGATCAGAGCATACAGGGATGCCAACGGGCTTAACAGGACGGCCTACTTCCGTTCCCCCCCTCGGCTGTTAAGTGACCGACTGTGATACCTGACGCTGTGGGAGGGGCCAGGGGTTACAGTTGCTATCCCTGACTTCTCTGTGAAGAGCAGCTGCCTCTCCCTCCTCCTCCCTTTCCTCATCCTCAGGGAATGAGAAAACCACAGGAATGCCAGGGAGGCAAGGGCAGGTGGTCCAGGAAATCACTGTCATAAGACACCTTGTGTTTTAACATTTTCCTGTAGTTTGACAAAAGTGGAATTCTCCCTCATTATAGTCTTCATCTACAAATCCAAACACTCATTCTGACTCATCTCTCAACGAGTCTGCAGCCCCCACATGGTCTAAACTGTCTACCTTTTGTTTGCTCAGAAACATGCACATAACCCCCTGGGACCAGTAGTAGAGTTTGCTACATTTATATTTAGGCGCCTTGTGACCATGGGCAGACCAGGAGGCACATATTCTCAGTGTGGGACAGCAGCTGACAAATTCCCATTCATGCTGCCATACATGTACCCACAGTCACTTACTTACTCAGTGTGTGTGTGTGTGTGTGTGCGTGTGTGTCAGTGTGTGTGAGCCCTGAGAAGCAGCAGAGTCCAGGGTCAGAGTCGGGTCATGTGGAGTGACCTTCCCCAGCAGACAGAGCAGACGAATAGTTTTTAAAAGGTTAGGTTGGGAATGCAGGAGGATGGGACTAAGTGGAGAAAAGAGACCACACATAGCGTATGCTTAGTTAAATTACAAAAGTGTAGAATATTAGCATATTTTTTTTAAATCCAGCCAAATTACTAGATTTAGCAGCAGGCTCTTTACATTGTTTTCAACCCTTTGATATTTTTTAACCTGATGATAATCTTAATATTCTTCTTATCTGACGGTTGCTTTTTTATGACACGTGGTTTGTGTCTCTTTGGCTTGACTTCTCTCCAGGATTCAATTCTAACATAAACCTTCCAGGAAGGGAAGATTCTGGCTCCGCCCCCACGTCACCATCTCTGCAGCTACAGGACAAGAACGCCAACAACCACACTCCTCACTCCTCAAGCCATGCCACCGTAGAGAACGGCAACCAGATCTCAAACGGTAACAGCACGAGTAATGCACATTTACAGTTTTACCCATCGTGGCTAAAAAAGTCATGTGACCCCTCACAAAGAATTGTTCAACTATAACTTTTTGTCCTTCAAAGGAGGAAAGGGGGCGGGCTGAGATAAAACCCCTACATGTTATCATAAGGTGGCAAGATTCCAAATAAAGTATAACAAAACTTCTTTTTTTCAACTGAAGCCAAAGTCACTGCTATATTCTTTAAAGGCTTTATATGATTTTTTGATCCAGCAGATGTCGCCCTTGAGCACCAGCATGAAACCAAAACAACTGGCGCTGCATTGTTGTGTTAGCATGCTAATGCTAGCGATCTTTATTATGCTGGTATCTTCACACTGCATGTAAATTTACCTGAAATGAGCGTGATCTAGAAACACAGTTAAGCAGTGAGTACAGTATGTTATTCTTCTTTTCTCTAGTCCCTCAATTAAACAACTTTTATACACGAGGGGAGGAGTCAGCCGGCCGTCCTGGCGATGTAAACAAAGTGAAGATAGGACTCTGAAAACTCTGAAAACATCACAGACAGTGGGACTCGGGTGTTACACTCATTGTAGACAGTCATGACTCACAGAGTTATTTTCAGAGGATATACTTGATTTATATTATGTTTAAGTGTGAAAAATCTCATATAAAGACTTTAAATGCTCATAGAGAATAACAACTGCAGTATCTCTTTTCATTTTTCATTGTCGGGGAAAAATAAAAATTAAGTTTTCTGTTTATGATGTTTTCAGGATCGCTGGAGGATGAGAGCCACAGCAAGTCAAACATAACCAGCTCCACCTCTCTGCACAGACACATGGACAGCCACCACACTCAGGTAAACACACACACACACACACACACACACACACACACACACACACACACACACACACACAGGCACGCACTTAAACACAGTGACAGCTGCACACATAAAGATGCATTAAGATTATAATATCATAATAACTATTAGCTCAATTTATGATTGTCAGACACAAATTTAATTTGTTATTTCAAACCTGGACCTGCACTTACTGAACCTCCAGCCTGATTCAAACTTCTAACAGGCAAATAAATACACCTGCTTACGCACATTCAACTGCTTACGCACATGTAACCACACTAACACACTCACAATGACGGCATGACTATATCAGGTCTGTATTTTGTATTAGGTTTGTTGACATTTTGAGTGGACAGGAAAGTGGCCTCCTTTGAACAACATGTGTCACTCATGACATGGGAGCTTTCTCTGCTCTGTAGACAGGTGTATGGTTACAGGATCGAATTAAATATCCTGCTCATCTGCACACAAGCTAAGAGGGACACAAACACACACAAACATTTGATAGACACTGTTGATAAAAGTCAGGGTGGAATGTGTCTTAAGTGCGAGACTCTTTTGACAACTGAGACACTCTGATAAAGTTAAAAAAATATATTTTATGAAAAGATGTAAAGATACAACGGCTTACAAGCTACATCACACACACTTGAAACCCCAGAAACACACTCCCATGATGCCATACATTGACCTAAACCCAAAAACGTCACCATATGAGTTCTAGTTTAACAGCACAGACTAGCAACAACAATTAATCTGTAATAATGAAATGCCCTCTGATATATACAAAAAGATAAACCACTATATTATTTCTATAGAGCCTCAACGCTCTATGAACACTATTTTACCTGGCATAAAAGAAATATTCACCCACCCTAAAGTATTAGCTCGGTAAGCAAATAGGTCTTAGAGTTCATAAAACTGTTCTCTGAATTCAGTTTGAGTCTAATTGTTTCACACTTTTTTCAGATATTTCACTTTTATATATTTATTCCATATTTCCATTTCTGTGTACAAGTAAAAAATAATCCATGTTATACTTCTATAAGAGCTGCAAAAGTGTATGTGTGTGTAAACATTCAAAAATGTGAAGAAAAAAACACTTAAAAATAAAATATCAGTTATGTCACTAATCAATCCTGAATCTTTGTACATCATGCACAACAGATATAAACACACAAACAAACAAATACACACAGGCAGCACGCTTCAGGCTGAGCAGTGTCCCTGCAAAATCAAAACAGGAAGTTATAATTATTGATCTTATGCCGTCACCATTGGAGCTTTTACTGCAGATATGGTGGACCCTTAAACTGGTTTCATCAGAAAATCTTTTTATAATAACACTTGTTACATACGAGGTAAAAGGCCTTTAGTGGCTAACACCATGTGAGTCTACTGCTCAAACTTCTTTTCACTGCAGCTTCACTCTGCGCTACTTTTCCAAGTTTCACCACAAGAAAACAGATCCAGTTTTATCACAGTCTGCATCAGTCGGTGATTGAGTGTCAGTGGAACGTGAAGCACAAGAAAGAGAAAAAGAACGCAGTGGCCCTCTTTTTAGAGAAGCTGAGGACATGCCATTCATAAGACACTGCCACTAGAGATGTGAAGGCACACCATGTACCCACTTCACAATCCTCAGGTGGACTAAATGTCAACTTATCTTAAACTTTTTTTTTCAAGTTTGTCTGTGTGCGGAATAGTACTGATGGGCCAGCACATCGTGTTTTAAAGCCTGAATAAAAAGTCTAAAGTTCATTCCTTCAGCTAATAACGTCTTCTTGTTTCTCAAGGTTTTCATCAGAATATGAGAACTTTATATCAAAGTGACTTCTCTTTTTATGAATCTGTTGAGACCTCTTTCTCTTACTCCATCCTTTTATCTTCCAGAGGGGTCATCTCAACTTTTCTCCGTTCGGTGCGGGGGCCGCCCTCTAAAACGGCGAGGGGGTGCAGGGGGGGGGGAGGGGTTGGCTCGCTGGAAGTCCTGATCGCATGTATGGATGCGGTGAGTGTATGTCATTCCTCGCTGCTCTCCATCCTTTAATAGCAGTGTTTTTCAAAGACCCAGTCAGAGATGATAGCTTTTTCTGTAGAAGAAGAAGAAGAAGAAGAAAGGGCCTCAGATGTTTTGTCTTAATAAGAATTTATGCTCCACCAAAAATCTATTTTGTAGTAATTTGCGATTAAGGTCGCTCAAAATATTTCTAATTTGCTCCTCCTTGAAGCTTTAGGGCTTTGAACATAAAATCAATTGTTCCAATTTTAAACATTTTTTATGAAAGAAAAAAGAGTTGGCACTAATTTCCATCAGATCCTACAAACAAAGATTTTAATTCTAGGAAATATAAGAAAGGGAGATAACTTGAAAAGCACTGCTTTGCAGGTTCTTATTTATCCAGACATACTTCACTTGTGCACCATTTTTCTGTGTCCTTCAAACACTGGATCATATCATTTCTGAACCATATCAACACTCTTCCCTTTCTCCTGTGAGCAACAAGTGTCCGATCCTAGCATCGACGACACTGCTGCTTCTTTCCCTGCTTTTTTTTTTTATCCCTCATTTCTGAAAGGAAACTGCAGCTCTATGGTGAAGCTTGCCTCTTTATCTGATGCCTACACATTCCTGTTGTCAACATTGCATTTTAATCTAATTACACTTTAAGTTAGAAAACATTCTGATCAGGCTAAAATGATGCCACCTCGTGTGTTTGTTTGTTCAGTAATGTCAGTTTAGCTGTTTGTAAATATGTAGTTTCTTTTGGAAAGAGCGTGTGCTTATGATAAGACACCATATTTTGATCTCTATTCTCTGTTCACTGGAAACAGTTAAGATGTGTCCCTCCAGTCAGTGTGTATACATTTCTGCTGGTCGAGGGGCTCCTGATATCTCTCATTTCATTCATGTTTTATGAATTGTTTTTCCACTTGACCCTGCAGCATTACAGTCGTCCTCTGGGATGAAGAGGGTTTCAAGGCTGCATGTGCCGATAGAGGAAAATTCAGAAGTCTCTTAAGAGTTTGCCAAAGATTTCCTACTTTTGAGTTTAAATTGCTATTGGCCAAAAATGACTTTGGAAAACGCATGAATTGGATATTGATTAAACAAATTGACAATATTTTACATTCTAGACATGAGAGGTGGTCCGTCTTTAGTAAAGTGACACTAGGCAACATTGTTCCTTTTTGTCCTTAGCATAAATCATAATACTCATGCAAATAAGCCTGAATAACATAATTTTCAAATGCTCAACATTTGAAGGTTGGGTAAGTCTGTTCAGAAAAAAAGAGCTGCAGTTTTTAATTGCTTTTTCATCTGCTTGGATTTTATGTTGCTGAGTCCATCCCCTGATCTAAAAATCATTGTTATTGATGTTGCATCTAACTAACATCTGATCAGTGCAGACGTCATCCTCATGTGTCTTAACTTTATCTCTGTACAAGAACTGCTCAGTCAAAGTCTGGCTACTCTTTGTTTCTATTGAATAATGTAAACATGCACACTTGTGTCACTGCGTCTTTGCTTCACTGATCTAGCGTTCTGTCTGGAACAGGTTCATTACCATGAGTTCATTCAAGAGATGGGAACAACTCTGTGACCCAGAATGCCTTTCAATTAGCTGCATTCCAGACTGTGTTTATACAGGATCGGAAGATCTAATGGCATAAATGAAAGGGAAAGAGAGGGGGACAGATAACTCAGTTAGGAATGAATGAACTGATTTGTCTCGGTTTCTGTAGTTAGTATAGTCAACTGCCGTCTAGACTCAAGATGTTAAGAATAGATGGAGGGGCTTGTTTTGCCAGCTAAATGATTGGGTAATAACAGAGGTTGATTTTGTATTTTTCTTTTCAGACAAAGTGTAGGCATAAGTAATGACGTTTAAAGTGTGAGAGGGCTGATTCAGAAAAACAACACTTAAAGGCTCAGAGGGACACAGAGAGAGAAGCCTCCATGTCTCATAATCAATCTGCTGGCTGCCAGCTGCTGCACGTGTGAGTCAAGGTACCACGGTTGTTTCTCTGAAATCCCCCTCATCACCTGACCTATCCAGTTAATTCTATTTCCTGGAAGTTCCCACACACACAGGTCATCATAGACCACTCACATCCCTCCTAAAATTCAGTCCACGCTCTGTGTTCTTCCTTACCAACGACCATTCTGGGTCAGTGTGATACTAGCGATAGATGCTGTTCAGCTTTCTGTAAAGATGAGGTTCTCGGGGCTCAGTGGTTAGAACGCACACCCCATGTACGGAGGCTGTAGTCCTCCAAGGTTCGAATCTAACCTGTGGCTCCTTTCCCGCATGTCAATCCCCACTCTCTCTCTCTCTCCCTGATTTCCGACTCTATCCACTGTCCTATCTCTCCAATAAAGGCAAAAAAAAGCCCAAAAATAAATCTTAAAAAAAAAGATGAGGTTCTCTTGAAACAATATTCTGAAACATTTTCTTATGCTAGAATTGTCAAAATTATGAAAGCTTTCCCATCAGCAATTGGATGTAATGTGTTTGTATGGTCATGTGATGCGTCTAATCAAAAAACATTGATAGGTGTTTGTCAGTAAAATATGTGCTTTATGGAGAGAAGGTCACAGGTTATTGTCACACTCAGTGGCCGCAGGATATCTGATCTGTGAGAGTTTGGAATGACCATTACTCGTCCTTGATTACCATATCATTACCATAACATTAGCAATCTATTAACATGTTGATTTGGGTATTGGCTCCCTTCCCCCCATGCCCTTGTGAGCGAGGGTGTGCTTATAATTTCAGATTTAGGAGGATAGCAGTCTGGCTGTTTTTGGGCTATTTATTGAGTAGCCAAAAAAAAGACAGAGAAGATCTTTATATTGTTTAATACAAATAATGTTTGTTTATAAGATCATTATTTAGACTACAATAATGTTTTAAGATCCTTTAGCAATTAGGTATGGGTATTTCAAGCTAAAACACTATTATATAGTCACAGGGAACTATTTGACAATCATTTAAAAAGACCCCTGGCAATGTTTTCACTTTTGTTTATTTTTGTTTAATTTAAATGTTTTTAATTTAACATTTTATTTAGTATAATAGTTTTAAATTTTAATAGTAGTTTTCTTTGAGGGCTACATAAGTCTCTGCAGTTGACCAGTACCTGCTTGCCTCTTTTTTTATTATTTAATGGAGTTCAGCAAGATGTAGTAGATGCAGTAGATGTGCTGCCTGCTACAGCCACCGTCTTGCAGTAGTACCACAAAACAGCCAGGTGCTGGTAAAAACAATGAGGGGAGGGGGTTTGGATGAGGTAAAAGTCACATTAACTTTTTTTTATAAATTAAAAATCATTTGAATATTCCAAAATCCTCTGTGTCCCTCTGTGTGTCGTCCATACAGGTCTCTCCTGACTACAGAGTAGAAGCTGTTACAGCAGTGTTATATCGCCCCTGTTTCAGGAAGGAGATGTTCAAGAGTCACATAAGCATGATGTTCAAGAGTCCATGTACTTGACACAGCAGAGACTTTTTATCATGTGACACGTGAGAAGAGACGCAGCAGTGTTATCTGAAGCGTTTGTGATGATGCTTTAAATAGCAGTTTTAAAATTATTAATATTTTGTGGCTTCAAGGCCAACTACTATGAAGCCCTTCAAGTGTTTATTGCTTTGAATAAGTGGATTCCTCTAAACTAAATTTATATCTGACGCTGAAGTGTGTGCACGCGTGTGTGTGTTTGTAGCTCCATGTACAGTCATGCATTGCAGAAGGACACAGTGTGTTCCTACTTGTCTACTTGTTCCAGTAGCTGGTGTTCCTGCCTGGCGCCAGAGCAGAGAATAGCCTGGCAGGGAGGTGTAAATTATGGATTAGGTCGTCGAGTATTGTGCTGGTGCAGGCAATCAATCTCTGTGTGTGTGTGTGTGTGTGTGTGTGTGTGTGTGTGTGTGTGTGTGTGTGTGTGTGTGTGTGTGTGTGTGTGTGTGTGTGTGTGTGTGTGTGTGTGTGTGTGTGGCCATATGGACACTCACAGGTGTGTTCTGTCCAGATATGTGCACGTGATGCTGGATATGTGCGTACGTCAAGGTATGTAATGTGTGCAATGTGCAATTATTGGTGTGTGTGTGTGTGTGTGTGTGTGTGTGTGTGTGTGTGTGTGTAGTGTATGCGTGCCTGTGGCTTTGTGTCAGTGTTTAAGTGCAATGTGTCACGGTATGTCTTGGCGCCTGGCATGATGCAGAGAAAATGTTTGGTCATGGTACCGTTAGCTTGATTTAGCTCACAGCTCTACCTCGAGCAGAGATGAATACAGATGAGGAGAAACAGATCATGACAGAGACCATGTTTTAATCTGTGATGATGAGGAAAAGTGTACGCCTACTTTATGTTTCTTTATTTGTCAATCAGTCCCATTAAGAGACAAATAATTTAACGCTCAGTGTTTTTATATCGCTTAGCATCAAACGTTGCGATGAAGGGCCCAATTACGTAATTACAACCCGATTTAGCTCCGCCCATTAAAACTTAGAACTGAAACTTGAGAAAAAAGAAACAACGGTCAAAAATGAGAAATCAGTCAAACATAGTTCTCAGTCTTTTCACATGTTTAAAGCTGTCTTCTTGCAACATATTTAGCGTGCTTGGAGACAACTTGCTGATTTGACTTTCCAGGGACTTTAAAGAAACATGCAGTCTCTAGTTAAAGCTGTTTATTCCTCTTTAATTTAGATCTTCCATTTGTGTCCAAAAAATGCTTTAAGACTACATCAGTGGCACTCTGCTGCACTGAGTGACATGTCCCATCTATGATCACCATGGTAACTGTAGTTTACTTTCTCATACTGGCACTAGAGCACCAAATGCATGTGAATCAACAGTTTATAAAAGACTTGCTCCTATATGAGAAAAGTTTATTGAGGAGAAGAAAAAAATCAGAGGACAATTGGTTGCCTTTGCTTTTTTTATGACTGTCCTTCAAAATAAAACATCTAAAGTATGATCCAATGGGCTTTTGGCTGTAGGTGATGCCAGTGTTGGTGTTTTTAGGTGGTTTTAGAAGAAAAGGAGAGTAAACAAGTTTGGAATTTTTTAACTTTCACAGCCAATCAATATCACCATTATAACCTCCAGTTCTTAATCTGGTGGATCATCTGTTGCTGGTATTATTGATTGGGAGGAGATTGGGATTCCTGTCTGATTTATTGACCCGGGTATTGACTGGCAGATGACTGATGATGTTCTCCCTGCAGAATGGTGTGTGTGTGTGTGTGTGTGTGTGTGTGTGTGTGTGTGTGTGGGTGTGGGTGGGGGTGGGGGTGGGGGTGGGTTGTGTAGGTGCAGGTGCAGGCAGGGGGTAGGGGGTGGGGTTGGCGGTGCTGACTGCACAAGGATCCCTAAAGTACTTAAAGGATCTCCTCTGAGCGTCCAGAGACAGAATATGGAAATGTGTGGCTGTTGAAGCTGTCAGTCATAGAGGGGGTTCCTCTTCCTGCTTTCCTCTGTCTCATGAGATGGCTCAGTGCCAGCTCCACATTCATCTCCTGTGTTGTTTGTTAGAATGATTCATGAGAATGACTGTCCTACTTTATGAAGAGAAGCCCGGCCCAGTGATCACTGCCTCTCTCTCCCTGCCGCCGTCACACCCTGGTCATTTCTGCTTATCATTACTCCGTCATCTTTCAGTTCTCGATTGGACTTCAATCTTATTTTCTCTCTCGTCCGCCCTCTTCCTTTGCTACAGGTATTCCAGCGGTTACGTTTGACAAACAGAGACGAGAGCTCCGCCCTCAGGGAGCTTCTGCGATGGCGGCGGACGCATTGTGAGGGTCGAGGAGACTGGAAGCACGGCCCGCCTCGATCCCCGACCCCTCCCCCCACGCTGCTCTGGACCAACAGGAAAGCCTCTCCATGACAGATGTTGTTACATGTATTACCTGAAGCTCTCCCCTCCCCCCCCCCACTATTCCCTTCAGCCATGCAGGCACATTTCCTTGTTTTTATTTTTATATGGACTTGGTAACCTCGTTTCTCTGGGGCGACGTAAAAGCTCCGAGCCTAAAAAAAGCATGAGCCTCGTTCCAGTGCTGGAGGTCCAACCTCTCCAATGATACCTGTGTGATAGAAACTCAGCACTTGGAAACACTGACTAGTGTGTCTGTGGAAAAATGATAGGAGAAAACCCATAATGGAGGCTCATGAGGAGTTTAATTAAGAGATTATTTCCAGTTGTTCTTCGACTAAATGTATGATGGAAGCTCATTGTGAGACTGAATTCAAATGCAGAATAGCATCAGATATGAAACAGCCCTTTTTAGTGCTCCAAACGGTGCTGATTATACTCGACTTGCTGTCCTGTGATGTCCCTGCGTGTTTAACCCCCGAGTCTCAGACCTTTCTGAAGTTTACAACCCAAACAAAGCCTTCAGACACCTCCAGTGTTCAGCATCACAGAACTGGTTTTAGACACGGGGCCTTTCAGGAAATACACCTCTCACTTAGCTCCTCTCACTTCCTGGGCCCTTTAAGTGTCACCGCAGCCCAACAAGGGGTCAGTTTAAAATCTCATGGTGCACTCTCTTTTCCCCCATTGTTACCATCAGCCTTTGAGGTTTCAAAACCTCCTGGCCAAACATCTGCACTAACCTTTAAAAGGAAAAGGGGATCAATCAAAAAAAACCTGCTCATGGTTTCTGGTGTAAAGCTGATACAACTGAGCTTTAGTCGACAGGTATGTAGTTCATGTTGTGAACATGAAACTCTGTGCCAAAGTGAAACTACTTTTCAAAGACGTGTCTAAACTAATATGTATAGTTATAAAAACAGATGTATACAAATAGTTCCTCAGTTACTCATCTGTACAGACTTACACAAAGACCAAATCAAAGTTGTTGCCGTGGTGATTTTAAGAACTTTTCTCTGAGTAGATCAGAAGAATATTACAAAAAGAGGTAGCAACACAACTCTCATTGTCTCATCGACGCCTGAACAGTCATGTGTTGGGGGGGGGGGGGGGGGGGGAGGGGGGGGGGGGGGGTTGAGGAGACTGTGCCGAGCTCAGGAACTCACGCACAGATGAACTCGATTATCGTACGGACCGCTCGGCCCCTCATTACCTTCAGTGTCCTCCCTTCCTCTCCTGTCCTCACTCAACCCCATCAAACAGACCCCCTCACTTGGTCTTTGACTATACCGCCCCCCCCCCTCCTCCAACCTTCCTAATGGATCAAACCGGCTCTACGGGTGTCTCCATGGTAACCACTCTGTAAATAGTGACCGGTGTTGTTGTTGTGTTCCAGCTTTTTACTACAGCAGAAAAAGCACAGAGACTGAAATGAAAGATGAAGAAAAGGGTGTTGAGATAATACTGTCTGTGATGGTGAAACTGAGATTTAAAGAATGTCTTGGGTTAGATGCAATGACCGAGGTAAAGAAGAGAAGAAGTTTATTTTAAAAATGTGAATATCTTTTCTTTTTTTTTTTTCAGAATGATTGTCTATTGTTATGAAATTCTTTATACTCTATTTAATATTATTATCCCCCCCCCCTTGACCCTGTTCATATGATGCAAGGCAGATGTTTTCATTGTATATGGATGTTTTATTGCACAATATTTATGTGTGTTGTCGTGTTGACTTCTGTAATGGGCTGGGCGTGTCTCGAACAGGCTGTTTGATCTCTGAAGATCACTCTGGATTGTTACGGCCGCAAAGTATCGATAGTTCTAATTGATTTCTCATTCCCACTGATCACCCACAATGTGTCCGATTGATTCAGCCGAATACGAATCAGCAGCACCATCACAGGAATCGATCCCGGCTGTCGGTGTGTCGGTGCGTGGACGTGCACAAATATTGAACAGAAAATTAGCGGAAGCCGCTAAATGTGCACAACAAGAGACAACCAATCCGTGAGCTGCATTTTTGGACTGACTGGCTGAATGTATAGATGCAACTTTAACTGCCTGTGCACATCAATGAATCCCCGTGTATGTTATTACTGGAACGTGCGCCTGTATTTTAAAACAGTGTACCTGACTGCTAAATGTGATTCTTGTCTTATGTATGCACTCCATATTTTAAAGCAGCTTAATAATAATAATAATAATACAGCATCTCTGATGAGGCATTCATTTGCTCCATGATTTACACCTTGTGTTGTGATCGGGGTTGCATGAGTTGTACTGTCAAACAGTTTCATCATAGTATGATTCAGCTCATTCACACAATGAGTTAACATGTATGTGATCAAATATAGAAGAGCCCAGATCGAGCTGAAGTGATCTTGTCAATGCAAATAACAGAGAATGCATTGTCCTGGTAATGCTCCTCCGTTATGCTTTGGTTCTGGTTAATTGTGCATTATGATGAGAGGAGATTATTTGTCTGTTTTTTAAGGGATATCAGTTATTTTGCTCTCTCCCCTCTTCACTATAACACGCTCATGTTGTAAAGATTAAAAAACACAAAAGATGTCTAATGTGAAGAACTGCTTCCCTCTGCACTGTGAATCACTGAATCATCATCCATCTCTCTTTAACTGGACCAACCTGCACACATATCAGCTCCCTCATAAACGTCCCCGTCAATCCGATTTCACTTTGTCGTAAGCATTTCTAAACCCCTGGCAGCCAGAATCCCGCCAGTCCTCGATGTTAGGATCCTCTTCCATGAGATCAGCTCTTTATCGTCAGTGCAGAGCCGCTCTTTTACCGTCCCCCAGTCCATGTATAGTCGTCCTCAGAGACACAATATTTAAGCACCTGATGTGAGGTGTTTCACTGCCTTTCATAGTGTTTTTTTATCGCCCTCTTTCTTTTTGTACATGACATTATGAAATATTTTAACCTGCATACATTTGTGTTTGTGGAAAGAAAAAAGATTGTATGTGATATTTCATAATTATGTTCCCAATGTTTTATAAGTACTTTACCTGTACAGCAATAAAAGCACAATTGTGTCAATCACAGCCTTTATGTTTGCATATGTGTGTGTGTGTGTGAGAATAGTGCATGCCTACCCCAGTTAGAGTAATGAAAGTCTATCTGTGTTTTGTTTGTTCTCAGAGTGGGGTTCAATGGTTTCCCACTATACTGTATTATCTCAGCAGTATTTCATTATATTGCTAAGATAAGATATAACTTAAGCTCGGATAACGATGGGAGATAATGCATCTAGTTTATAAAACAAGAAGCTACACCTAGAGAGCTTTGCGAAATCTGAGATTACCTCGAGTGACATCACTTGAGTCAGTGCCAGTTAGGGCTGAAGAAAAGGGGTTTGGCCGGCTCCCAGTTACTGCTCGCATCAAATTTAAAACTTTGCTGCTCGCTTACAAAACGGCGACAAAAACGTCTCCTCCTTACTTTAACTCTCTGATCCAGGTCTACACTCCCTCCCCCCCCACTACGCTCTGCCAATGAAAGGCGTCTGATCCAACCTTCACAATAGATGCTGACTAGACTCTTCTCCTCTGTCGCCCCCCGGTGGTGGAATGAACTTCCAAACTCCATGTGATCTGCAGAGTCCCTCTGCACCTTTAAGAAAAAGCTAAAGACCCAGCTCTTTCATGAATACCTACTAACTTAATGATGATGGTCTCCATATTATTGATGATGATGATGGTAATGACGATGGTTTTTGTTTGATAACGACGACTTATAAGATGGTTTCTATACTGATTAGAGCTCTCAAGAACTGCCCTCAATGTTGTGCTTTGCCTCTGGTCACTTCCTGTCAGCACCTGTGTGTCCAATCAGACTCAAAGCTGATCGTTTGCTCTTACTGACATTGTTCCCTTTTTTCTAGATCCTTGCTTGTGTTGTTCTTACTCTCTGATGTACGTCGCTTTGGATAAAAGAGTCTGCTGAGTGAAATGTAGAATTGTAGAAGAAAAAAAAGAGTTCAGGTTTGAAAAGATGCAGAGTAACTTGATAAATGTGAACACACCAGTATAATGAACCAGTATAATGAACCAGTCTAATGAACTAGTCTTCTCGTGAAACGTGTTGTTTAATACACTCGTAAACCGCCAGCTAAGTGTGTGTGTGTGTGTGTGTGTATCACTTTAAGTGTTATTCAATCTAAACCAGTCCTGTGAGAGGTTTAATGTGTTTACAGGATCCAGTGTAATGTCGATGTGAAGTGACATTTACCATGATGAAATCTGCCCTGCCAGGTATTTACTAACCTGCGGCGGTTTCTGTTCAGAATCAGGTCAAGACAAGCACGAGTCAAGTTAGCGTTAACAACCAAACATGTTCTTCCCACAATATTATATCGGCTTTAGTAATTAACAGGAATGTTTCCCTGAAGCAGTAGTCACAGAAAGAATTCTACTTAAGGTGTGGGAGTGTGTGTTTGAAGTTTATGTGTCAGTGTGTGTCAGTGCAAAGAGCTGCTGACTCACACACACACACACACACACACACACACACACACACACACACACACACACACACACAGGTGTGTACAGTTTGTGCTTTAAGATTTAAAAAGAATGTTGCCAGTTTCATATCATATAAACAAACATGTATATGAATGAAAAAAAGAGAAGAGAAAGATAGTTGGACTTTGAATAGCTGTCAATACATTCCAGTTTTCACACAAAAAATGTTACTATGCACACCATTCTGAAAACTTGAAGCTCGTGTATCACAAACATTACTTCAAACTGCTAAACTCTAAGTACAAGTCCATTGGTCTCCCTCAAATATCACTCGGGAGTACAGTTTTGAAAATCTCATCAATTAGAACACTTTGTTCCCTTAGAAACACTGGCCTTACAGATTAGTCTCACTCATGTTGCACCTGTGCAAACTAACTGGAAGAACCTCGATCATGTGTCAGAGTATAAAAGAGGCCTCAAGTGACTTGTACAAGTTGAAGGCAAGGCAAGAAGATGAAGCACTTTGTATTAACAAATAAATATATCTTGTTATCTTTTTGTATCTGTGCTAGGGCTGGGCGATATATCGAGTTTTTAAGATATATCGATATATTTTCAATCCAGATATAGGGTAAGACAATATCGTTAATATCGATATAGTTCATGTTGCATTAAAATAACGTTATATACAGTACGTCTTCTGTAGAGCTGCCAGTTCACCTATTTCTCATCTCACTGTCTCTCCCTCTGTCACCCTGCTCCTCTCTCTCTCTCTGAGCCAAACTCAACAAACTAAATGGATAACAAAACACAAAACTGTGTTTATTTTGTTGTGCAGAAAATGAATTAACTTCACAAAGAGGTAGTTTATTTTCATGTACGTATTGAACTTAACTGACTGTTAATAAAAGACATATCGATATATATCGAGTATCGCCATTCAGCAAAAAAATATTGAGATATGAGTTTTGGTCCATATCGTCCAGCCCTAATCTGTGCACTGATTTCCTCATAGGTAACATTTGTGTTGTATAAAGACCAATCAACAAAAATCAGAATCCAGGTCAAATAAAACAAATCTCAAACATTTGAGAAACTTGTTTCTATGTAGTCAGTTCCTATCATGCTGACTAATGTCCAAGTGTTCACTTTCCTGAGTTTAGTTTTCACACTCTAACAAACACTCTAACTCTAAATCGTCACCAAAGTAACGTCGTCTCGCAGGGCTTGTTTGGCTTCCCATTTTCACAATTTGAGAGTGTTGGACCAACTTATTAAAACTCCCTTTTGCTCAATTTAAGACGAGAGAAAATATGAAGTCAGGCTGTGCAATATGTCGCATTGAAGGCAGCAAGCAGCGTTGAACTGCTAGTCTAACAACGATGATTTTAAATGTATTTTAAATATGTAAAATAAATTATTTTTTGTTATTACAAAACAGGACAGATACAAAATATTTGACACTTATTTTTGCATTCTCATGAATATTTAGATATAAAAGGTTATGGATACCCTCTGATGTATTTAAATACTAGTTTCTAATTATTTTGGTTTTGGTTTTGTTGTTGCAAAGTCTAAAGTTTAAATATCCTGTTTTCATACCAAAGATTATTAAGTA